GTGGTAGCTCAGCTTGCTGTTGCCTCACTATAATAGCTCGGACTTGCTTTTGAATTCGGGCTTACTATAGGGGAGCTCGCTTCGAATTGAATTTCTTGCCGGTTGCTTCTCCTTTTTAAAGGTCTCCGGAGCGGTGGGGGTCTCCGCGTTGGAGGTCGCGTTCGCTCGTGTGCTTGTTTTGGGTCGCGTTCGTTTACACGTCTGTATGTGCATATATGTACAATGTGTTGTCTACGTTTTAGGGTGCTAGGGCACCACAACAGAAAGCGACCTAAGAGGATTTTTAATTTCACCCAGATGACAGTTTCAAAAGTCATACTTGAAGTATCATTACCTAGCAACTTTAAAGTGCGTGTGTTTTAAAGGCCTTTTTTTCGCACGCATTTGAGTGTTTAAAACGGAGATTGTGATTCAGGTATAATAAAATAGTTATTTATATAACAAGAGCGCGAAGTTCAATTTCGCGCATTGAGACTGAAGGTATCAGTCAATTATTATTTATATTATATTATATTCTCTCTATTGGCCTTGCACCCAGCCCACTTAATTAGACATGTATTCGAGTATAACGTCAATATGATTCCATTGTATTTCCTATTTTTAAATTATATTGCAGGTATAATAAAAAATACTATTAAGATACACGTGTATAATTGGTCTTTAAAGCCCTTGCAACGGTAAAGGCACTCCGCTTCGCGTAGTGCCATTAAACTCGTTGCGCATGCTTTAAAGACTTGATTAGAAACTTGTATCTTAATATACTATTGTGTGGATATACTTGTCCTTGCAAATTTCATATTTAGCGCCTCAGATTTAGTTCTCATTTTAGTCATACCTAGTGATGGCGCTGCAGATGTTGGCTTCAAGTTTTATATTAGATATTATACGACCGTTGAGTGAATATTTAATTACACAATGATACGACGCTAGCAGTCCAGGTTTAAATGGTCGAAGCGCAAGTTACTCTTAGAATTACTATCGCAATTTACTATTTCGTATAAACTACCCTTTAAGTAATAAAAGCATCAATGACTGTTACCTACATTTGTAGTTGGCTGTGTTGTATCGATACATTCAATAAGTCACTGACATCGATGTCATAGTCTAAATTAACAATTAATTTGTTCTTCCGTGTAATGAATATATGGCTAGCGAAGTATTCTACGATTCTCTGGAGGGAGAACACTCGACTCCGTCAGACAGTCCTTCTGATAAAGCTGTGAGTAGCATCACCGGAAATGATAATTTGATAGTTATCGAAAATGAGGTAGTAAACTTGTCCTCAAGCTCTTGCGTATTGGTAATCAAATATCCTCCAAATCATTCATCACAATGTTCAAGAAAAAGTTCAAATTCAAGTTTAAAAAGCGAGTTTGAAAGGAAATGTTCCTTAAATTCGGCAAGATTAGACCATCCGCGTGATATTTCTACTTTGGTACCATTATATTCGGGAGATATAGATAAATTTGGTATAAAATGCAGAAAATGCTGTTCGACTCCTTCTCAAAAGCCTCAAGGCACTGACTGCTTCGTACATGATGAGAAAGTACGTACTGGTAGTTCTAAAAAATGCGAAACATCTAGAAAGAAACTAATTAAGTGCAGAAACACAAAAATGTCTAGCAAAGGTTCAGAAATCTTCATTCCTGAAGTACGGTCCCGGTCATACTTGACAATGTTCCACAGGCGTATCGGTTATCCTGAACAAACGCCAAACATTGATATAAAGGACACGCAAAGATCGGTCTTTGGCGACACTAAGAGAAGTTTGATTAGTTTAACATCAAATGAAAACGAGCAGTTTCGTGATGCTGAAGATTGTCAATCGGATACTACAAGGTAAGTTACTTTTTTTCTTTTCCAGATCTTTATGCCAACTCTTTTTGCAGCTTTTACATGAAAGCAATTACAGAATCTAACCAAAATAAAATAGGCAGTGGCGATGCTAATCAATCTCCTGCAATTGTCGCACCTCCACCTAGTAGCACTTCGGAGATATTTAGTTGCACGACTCCCACAAGATGCGCAAACAAGAGCAAGAGACGCGTAAACAAATTGTATCCTATTCCTGATATGGGAGGCTTGGGTGCTGACACTGTTCGATTTAAGGATAAAGTAAGTTCTTGAACATGTATGGCACATTTAAATAGTAGATGGTACACTTCTTTTTATAATATTGACAGTAATGAGTTTTTCGAGTGAAATAGAACCACCGAAATTACTTTCGGGATTTAAACAAGATCTTGTGTGTTGTCAATTATACCTAGTTGTTGTGTCCTTAACCCTTTGTCCCAACCAACCTCGAGGGGCGAAGAGAAAGAATATTGAGAAAAGTAAAACGAAAACACCAATAAACCACAATAATATATTATAATATCGAACGTGTTTCAACAGCAAGGCTGTCATCATCAGCAAACAACTAATTCGAATAGGTCAATAAATGTGGGCCAGTTTGTTTCGAAACAATTTGGTCTCAAATTGTGCAAAATTTGCTGGAATTTGCCGAATGCATGCTTGATAGGAATGGCCCTTGAGTGTTAAAGTTGATTTCAAAAATTTCAGAACATGTAAGAAAGTATTTGGTTATTTTATTTTTTACAATGTCACTTTGTGTTATCGAGGTGCAAAACTTTGACTCTTTATATGTTGAGCATTATAAACAACTCAGCAAAGATCAGAACTGTGGAATCTGATATAAGGTCTGATGTGAAGAGTCAACTGAACTATGTATGTACGCAAATTTCCTATTTCGTTCGAGAGTCCTTTTGTTATAACAAAAAAAAGTTGTTTTTTTAGGGCGTTAAAATAGTAACTATAGAAATGTAATAAGAAGGTTGGAAATGGAGAAATTCCAATATGAGTTGACGAGCGCGAAGTCGAAGGCGAAGAATGTTAGTTTCATAGGCAAGTGCTAGAAGGTTAACTTTTTTTTTCAAAAATTGATTCAGGAATCGCTATATTTTAATGTTTGTCGTGAAGAAATTGCTTTCGTAGTTCGACTCGCTCACTGGATTTATGAATGAAATTATCTACCGAGCCATTTGTTATGGTAACTTGATCAGTCTATTCAGGGCTAAGGTCTTCCTAATCCAGATCTACATAATAATTTACAAAGATCAGTAACGCTACCATTCTTAGATAAAATAACTATAAGCTATCGTAATAATACCCAAATAATTCAGCAGTGTATGTATTCATAGTGCACATTTTTTGCAGATGGAATTAAGAAAACGTCAATTACAGTATGGACAAAGAGCGAGTAATAGGAATAGAATTAAATTAAAAGAATTGGACATTTTAAAAAATTTGAAAAACGAAATCGCGGAGTCAAATGCTATAAATAACAAAAATGTGCATTAACGTTGAGGTTTGCCAAATAAATAAAACCTAAAAAAATTGCTTAGAAATTAATCAAGTTATCTAATACACAGAGTAAGTACCTATATCAAATCAAAAATTGGAATAGGTATTTTTCTTGGTTCGCGCTACAGATAGCCGTCCTTTTAGCAGCGGCAGAGCAAAGCGATGGAATCTGTATAGGAGTGTCGATGGTGTCCATCTATCCGTCCGTGACCAAGGACCCCGTGACGTCACACCGAGGTTATCTGTCCCTTTTTAAAATTCGCTTTAGGGGTTTTTTAGCTTTGGTTTTTTGTAGCACATTTTTTTTGTGATTTTGACATTTGGGGTCTATTTTGCTATTTAGAGCCGGCGAAGAATAATAGTATCACACACAGGCAGCTATATTGCGTATCGTAAGATGTAACAACTGCATGTCAGCCAACAACCTGGATGATTAGAAAAAGGAATATTTTGGGGAGTGGGTGAATTTAATGTGGAAAACGACAGATCTTGATTAATGTCGCATGTGACTTGGCGTTGGTTTGATGACCAGACCGCCTGCACTTTTACCTTTATGGATAACACTAAATAACCTTAAACAATGGCCCATATGAATAAAAGGGAGCATATGCTTATACTTGCAAAATTCAAAGTAAATACTCGTAAGAGCCCCTTCACACTTGGCGACTTAGCAGCGCTGCTCAGCAGCCTAGTGTGAAGGGGCTCTTACGAGTATTTACTTTGACTTTTGCAAGCAGAGACTTGTTATAACTAGACCGCGCGTAACGTACATTTTACTATAAACGCCTGTTGTCAAGATAGGATAGGCAACCAACTGTTCATCGCGGGGCAGACGTACGTTCTGCAGCTTGCTTTAGCATATGTTTATTCTAAATTTTATTTTAGTAGCAAAAAAAGATAACATATAACTGTTAACTGTTTTAATCGAATTTATTGGTATTTTATTTGTACTAAATTGGTATATAACTGCCTTACTCTGGTCCTAATTCGATTTATATGTGTATTTTGGTGGTGAACACGCATGGGAAAATATACTCTTAAAACTAAAGATGTAAGTAGTAAGATATGATTATTTAGCGGATTTTAATTCAATATATGCCTATCCAAAAACCCAAATGGGCTGTAACTGTTATTTATTTTTCTTAGACTGCTGATAACCATTTTGTTTACAACGCGGTGTGGTGTGGATTGAATGAAAAACCTGAACACATTTTCAGCAATTTGGCAAATTTTTAATTCATCGCTTGATACGTGCAACATTCCTCCACGATTTTTTTCTAGTTAAAAGCTTTGAATGACTCTCTGATGCGAATATCGCATCTGCACATATGGAACATTTAACAGACTTTTAGCTATTTTTCTTGTAACAAAACCTGAAATATACTTAGTACCAGTAAGTACTTAGTTACGTCTATACCTAATAGGCAAATAGGTACTGCCGTTATCTGGTAAAGGATGTCGAATAATAGTTCTACGTTATTTTAATTTTTAAGTGAATGGGAAAGTCGAAAACGCTCGGTATTGCGTTATTGTTTAACACCTTCGTAGGTACCTGTCTAAAATAGGCTTCATTCCCCGCAAATGCACTATGGTGGGAGTAAATTTTTCTCTTCGAATGGCTCTGATCCATTGGCGCTTTAAACTTTTATCCGTTGGAAATCTGCATATTATTTAAAATTCTATCTACAGAGTACATGTTGATACGCACGAGTTAACCTAAGTTTATTGGTTTATTCTCAACAGAAATTTATCTGTTCACTAATTCGAGCTAATCACGAGAATAATTAAAGAACGGAACATCTAAAATAACAGCTTATTTCATTATATTGCACATCATCTCTGCGATTTTTGCCCCGCGGTGCATTGTGTGTTGCATACTGTGTCGACAACACCTTAGATACGTTAAGCGCAGTCTAGTTATAGCAAGTCTTTTTGCAAGCATAAGCATGTGCTCCCTTTTATTCATATATGGCGTTGAGCCAGAGGGCATGTGCGGTTTCATTTCTGGGGAGTAAGCGAAACCTACAAATTTAGATTCGTCATGAAGGTAGGAAAAATGTTTGGCATGATACTTCGTAAAATTCGGTAGCTTAGTGACATTATGACGTCACAAAGATGACCGCCAGGCGAAAATCTTAGTTAAGCATTATAAAGTCTGGTTTCATGTGTAAGAAGTAAAAGTATCATACAGATTTTGATTCAGCATAAAGCTAGGATTAATGTTTGGGATGATACTTTGTGACATTCGATAGTTCAGGTACGTTACAACGTCACGTTCTAAATGTCTAGTTTTAATTGTAGGGAATGGAAGTATCATACAAATTTTGATGCAGCATAAAGCCAGGATCAATGTTTGAGATGATACTTGATACTTTGGCATATGCATAACGTAGCCGCCTCTCTCAGAGTTTAGTCAACTGTCGTGGGGATGTGTTCGTGGTAGGTACTAAAGGGATGCATCCCGACAACTTTGTTGCCATTGAGTTGGGCCACGCCATATGAAAAACAATTTGATGGATTTTGTGGATTGGGGAGGTTGTGGGGAGGGGGGCTAACTGGGTGTTATCCGAGCCGAAAGGGTACGGCCACAGCTTCGCCACTGGAATATCTGCATTAGAGGGAACTCTGATTTCTGGTGATGGCCTGGCCCCCGGGCGTTCTACTAGTTTCCGCTGCCTCCATCCTTTTGTCTCATTTCCTTCCTTCTTGTTTCTCCCTTTCCTTATTGTTGTCCTCTTCGTGCCTATCTTTCTGTCTCCTTCTCTGGGCTGCTTATGCTTATATCTGATTCTTCCTCCACCTCCAGTAGATAGATCTGGTTTCTTTCTTCATTTGGTTTTTGTCTCTGCTCCACTCTTCCCATCTTTCTATGGGAGTCCCCACTCCCCGAGGCCGCCACCGTTTGGTATACAGTGGTATTCCATGTGAAGTAGGGTCGGCCTACTTTCCATTCCGAAGCACGTAGATTTTTGGCCATCTGCAGTATAATGATCTTTGTTCCTCCTGTTTATATGCCCCCACTATCGCTCAGCTGCCTCATCTTCAGTCGCCCAGTGATCGCCTTTCCTCCTAGTAATTCCCTTATCTCTTTTCTTGTGAGGTTGCTGTTTTCAAGCAGTATCCGTATTGGCTTCCGTTCCGCCCTCCTCATTGTTTGTCTGTTACTCTTTGTTAGCGTTTCTTAAAATTGAGTAGCTTAGTGACAGAATCATTTATTTATTGATTTATTGATTTATTGTCCGTCTCTTGTTCTGGGCCCTCAACAGGCTTTCGCCCAATTACACCACATAATGCTTTTTAGAGGGACTCTTACATGAGGTCTTAAGTTCTTCTATACTACTCCAGTATTTCCATACCAATTAGGAAAACTACAGGAAAACCTAATTCGGAGTATTCGGCAGAACCTCAACCAGGTTCGAACACCCGACCTCCGGATTTATAGTCGAACGCTCTACCACTGAACCATAAAGTCGAGCAGATAATATCGGTCTTGTTATTTCAATTTGCCTATAGTCAACTTTTGCCTTTTTGTTTCAGATATGGATTCCGGGCAGACTTTTCACCATTTACAAAAAATTGACAATTATAAAGCAGTAGCATGAAAACCGCTTAGCTGCCATCTTAGCTACCAACTTTCACAAAGTATCATGCAAATCAGTGATCCTGTCTTTATGTTTGATTGAAATTAAAATTTGTCTTAAAACTTGCCTTAAAACGGTATACAACGATTTTCACTTGGCGGCCATATTTGTGACGTCATGATGTCACTAAGCTACCGAATTCTACGAAGTATCATACCAAACATTTATCCTACCTTCATGACGAATCTAAATTTGTAGGTTACACTTAACTCCCCAGAAAGGAAACCAAATCGTCCATTTTTGACCACCTAGCTCAACGTCTATAAGGTGAGAGTAGCATTATGAAGGAAGATCGTTTTCATTTTGCATGTTTGAACGTTGGGCCCTACATTTTATTTATCTAGCTGTAAACCGTTTCTCTGATGAAACTGCCTGTGGCTTCCGAAACAGTAACCAACCGTCATTCACCAGGAGCAAGAAGAAGCAACTTCTGGTGGCGCCCGCGCTCAACTGTACCGTTCCGCCGACTACCCCACCGACCGCCGACTATTTGCAATTACATTCACACAACTGTAAAATAATTTATTTAGCTAATTAAAATTCATCTTATCGATCCAAGTAATTTCTTTTCCATTTCATGCCAAGCAACCATGTTACGCGGACTACCCCAAAGTTCGTCACACTTTGCCAAAAAACTACCGCACTAATTAAAGTCAAGAAACAAGAAAGGTGAAGAGTTTTTTGTAATGGTTTGAACAAAGATGCAAAGTGCGCGTTCTTACAAAAGCAATTGAAAAGATGAATTCATTCTGTTGCTGGAAAATTTGTGCCCTTCCTTTGTGTCAAAGAAGTCTAATACATCAGAATTGTCGTATACCTAACTCATTGATAATAAATTTTTTTTTAAATTTTCCCACTCAAAGCTCTCAGTTTTCCGGGGTTGGATGATATCCCATTGAAGAGGCAAAAGAAGCGAGGAAAACAAAATTGAAGTTAATAATGCTTTGTGACCGAACAGTTTTGATTCATATTCGCCGTGCTATAGCATACAGCGCACCTTTTAGTTTGCTACTTAAATAAAATGTGGAAAAAAGTATAGTAAAATAAATAACCTTAGCTTTTGGTTTTCTCCAAAGTGGATATAAAAACCCAATTCGTAATTGCACTTACCTTGGTAAATCGATATAAGTACCCACATAAAAAACGTTTTGAATGACAAACTTCTCCCCTTAGACAGTTCCTTGTACAATTCGGGGTATGTCAACGCAATCTCGGCGCTGACATCTTGATCAAGCACTAAACTGAAAACCTAAAACAGCAGGATAAAAATCATGTTAACAGTATTCTGTAATAGAACTTACTGGAAACATTGTATACAATGTAGCGTAACCGACCATTAGAAAACCTTGATAGAGAGCTACTGAACTTAAATAAAATACGCTACTGAATACTGCTTGCATGGTGGATATAATAAGCCCTCTATGCACAACAAACTGAGATAATGACGACGAACGTTTATAAGAGTGTCTGCCATGAACCAGCAATAACCGTGCAAGATAAGAAAATTGAGGTATGCTGAAATCGCCTGCCAAACTTGCTTGTTTTCCTTCTCTTCCTTCAATGCCAATACCCGCATCGGCTTGTTGAATCATACTAACATCATTGCCACCGTCGCCTACTGCCGCAGTTCGTTTACCCGTTTGTTTCTGAATTAACTGCACCTATTAAAGAATCAATTGAGCTAAGTCGCTGAATTAGTGTGACAAACGTACCACTTGAGCTTTTTGTGTTGGTGAACATCTGCAGCAAACAACAGCGGGCGCCGCCGTTGCTAGCTCCATGAATTCCTGTTGGTAATAATTTAGGCAAACTTCTAAACTTTCACCGCTCACTACTAGCGCACAGTCGCTTCTTCTTCTAAATGCGTTTAATTCTAAATGTGCGTCTGTGCGTGTTTCAACTTTTTTGAGCACGAAAAGGCCTACAGTTAAGGAATGTGTAATAATGCCATGATTGGCACGGTCAGTTACCTTGCGTCCTCGATACAAGCCTGGAACTTTTTGCAATACAAGTGGCCGTCTCCAATTTGTCACCAGTAAGCATCCATATTTTGATTCCAGCATTACGTAACAATTCCAAAGTTGGACGCACATGATCTTGTAGCTTATCTTCGACGCCAGTAATGCACAACAACTCCATTTCACGCTCCAGAGATTCAATAACTTGTGCCACTCTTTGTACACGATCAGACACTGACAATCTGGCTGCATTATAGCGGCTCTGCAAAAATAAATAAATACAAATTTGTCACAAAATCCAGTGCCTTACTTCAAAATCATTGTACTGCTCCTCGCTTAGAACTTTACGTGCCACCACCAGAGTTCGTAGACCTTCCCTCGCCATATTTCCGCACTCCTCGTCCAACCAATCTGTGTACTGCACAATTCCCGACATCACGACGTCCGCGCCTTTTAAATAAAAAACTATTTCCCCCGTTTGTAAATCCTACAAGTTCAACCCTGAGAGACCTTGTGTTTCCAAAATTTCTCGTTACCTTAACAATGACGCCCATCCGCTTCGTTTCGCTGGTAAACGGAAAGACAAGCAAAATAGAATAATGAAATAATCTGCCGTCGGGTGTCCTTAGCTGCATGGTCGATAAATCGCGGTGATGTAACGCGAGGCCGACTTCCTTCGTCCACTGAACTAAAGCGACTTCGTCGGGGCTAGAGGCCTGGTAGGTCATGTTGCGATCGGTGGCAGTTCTCAAATGTTGGTCAGCTTCAGTTTCAGATGAAGTTAATGAGTCTAAAAACCATTGACCTTAAAATTTGAAATTTGGAAATGGTCAAATAGCCAAATTATTTGATAATTGCGCACTAAAATGAGACAAGCTTATTCATTTTTCTTTTCTGCTCCAATTCACTTTAAAAACTGTAAGTCGATCTCCATTTCGACCTACACTTTTATCAAATCAATCAATTTATGCAAGCTTTTGAGATGCACACATTTTTGGTGGCAACCGCGCAACCTTTGAGGAGTATAGAAAACTATGCGCAGTCGCTAGATCACAAGTGCTTGTTTTGGCCATATATATAAGAGAAGTATATGGATAAACGAGTGGACACGCCCATCGCCAACATTGGTAGAGGGAAATATACTTCTGTCATTAGTAGTCAACTAGGCGCTAATGCGCTTGCCTGTTATTATGTAATCGAGGTTGAAGGGTGTAACCGTACACAAACTCGTCTGAGGAAGCTCGAAAGTTCTCCGTGAAAATGCAACAGATTCCAAGCAGAACGATATGGAGCACCTTGACCACTGCTTTGAGTTGTCAGTGAAATCATTCAAGTAGGCCATTAACTGCTTGGTGGCCACTATAGGTCCCGAAACCTTGTGTGCCGAAAACAATGTTGAGAGCACAAAAAAGGGAAGATTCAAATTGTCGTCGCTGATCGGTGAAGATGCTAGTAGGGGAATCGAAGCGAGATAGTCAACAGGTAAGAAACGCTTAGGCGGCGATTGGTCTTCAGAGGGTGGGCCTCGGCCACCTAGTATACGTATCTAAAGACATCACGGGATCAGACAATAGTGATAGGAGTCGGCAGGTGGAATAGGGCCAATGTGGTGAATATGAACCTGCATGAAGCGAATAGAAGTCTGGGTGAAGTTTCAGAATGGGGCGTGGTTGTGTTTACAAATGGTAATTGCACACAATAATGCTTTAATAAAATTTTAAACCTATTTTCGAGTTATAGGTTATTAAATTTGAAATTGGCGCTACTTAAAAGTAGGCGGTAAGAAGTAAATATTTACTTAGGGAGTTTGCGCATAAATACAGAGTTGACTACTAAGGAATAGGGCAGCTCTCTTTTATGGCGAACAATTTACACATTGGCATCATACGCGGTTATCCATATACTTCTCTTATATATATGGTTTTGGCCATCTCAAATTGAACCGCCACAAAAAAGGTATTTTATAGTTAATATTTATTGTTTTTTTTTTCGCTATTTAATACATTTTACATTCACTTATATAATTTTAACTTTTATTTTGAAATTAATATTTAACTTCAATACTGGATCACGTGTACGAATTTGTATTAGGTACTTGGAGCCATTATCATTTTTTGTGTAAACGGTTAAGTAATTTGTTCCATTTACACGGTCTTCGCATAATGTTTAATTTACATATTTGGTCATTTGTTTATATGGAAGTTTGATCTTTGTATGGATTGTTGGAATGACTACTATCCATTTTTGACGTGAAAGGACAATCCCAAGCATGAGGCAAATTGTAACGGATGTTCTGACAGTATCCATGATATTATCACTGCTATTAATGTTTAGGGTCACTTTGCTTGTTGGAAGCAATTATTTAAATTACAAAGAAAAGCCGTTAGGATTATTGCGAACATTTCATTAGAGATGATTGTCAGCCAGCTTTCATTGATCACCAATTATTAACGCTTCCATCTATTTTTATTTTTACTTGTCTTTGTTTTGTTAAGTGCAATGAACATTATTTTGTTAAAAATTGCGATGGTCATAATTATGACACCCGCAACAAATTAAATGCATTTGTCCCTTTTTGCCGTTTAAGTAAGACGCCAAACAGTTTTGATTATATCAATATAAAGTATAATTATATTCCTCACAATATTAAGGCTTTACCTTTTAATTTATTCAAATCAAGAACTAAAGCATTTCTTATTGATAAAGCGTTTCACTCGTATGAGGAATTTTTCAGTACAGAGTTCTTTTCGGGACAATTAAGTATTGTTATAATTTTTGTTTGTTCTTACATTTGTAATATTTTTATTTTGCTTTTGTATTGACTAATGTATGTAGGCTGTTCTACGAAACATTAAATAAGCTTTATTATTATTATTATTCTTATTAATTGTTGTTGATCTTGAAATTCATTTCCAACGATAGGGCAGCTAGCAATGCAAGGGGTCAGATTCTGCTAATAACAACCCTTCGGTTTTGCAATATGAATAGCGATCTGCTGATTTTATTGCACCAAAGTTGAATCAGCTTTTGTACTTCTTATATTGTTACCAGCTTTTAACCTTTTCTAAAATCATATTTTCATTGTATGTGATTTTGTTGTTATCATACTTTGTTATTGTAACAAGTTGGTCGATTTTTTGTTAAATTAACAAATTTGCAGGTATAGGAAATTTTATACGTGTACCGCTTTATAATAAAAAAGAACAGAACTAATATTCGATCGCGTTAAGATAAGAAATGTGTGTTCAAGCAGATAAGAGTCGAAATGCTACAGTGTTGCCGGTTCTAAAAACAGTTGTGACAGAGAATGAGGGCCGATGTTTCTGCTATACCTTCACATGTATAAAAAACAGAACGGACGCTTGGTTGTTGGGGTCGTTATGTATTTGGGATTTCGGTAGTACAAAAATTAAAATAGGGTGGAAAAGACATTCTTACTCACACCTTCGAAGAGAATCTATGCAGGTCAAGCACTACATATCATTCGATCGCGTATTGAATTCTTAACAAGACCTTCGAGCCAAACCTCCGTAACGTAAGAGTGGTACACACCATTTTTTGAGATCACGTAAGATTGTGCTACCACTTTATTGTCGTGGGTACTTTATTCATGCGGAGCTGCCCTTCAAACAAAACCAATAATCGGAGGTTTTATGCAACAAAGGAACTTTTTCATGTAATGAAAACTAATCAACGGCGGATTTATGTTTCACTGAACTTACAGTGCGAGTAAAGTACTTTGATAATACGTATGTGAATATTTACGGGAATTGCACGATCGGATTAAAGTGCTCGCATTTCAATCAATTGTTACCACGAAATCGTTCGGGTCCCTGGTGCAAAGCATTCCATTGCGCTATATCTGGAGTGGCTAGTTACGTTAAAAACAAGTCTATCAATCAAAACTGTGCACCTTTATTGTGTATAGGCGGTGTTATTAGATCTTCATTAAACGGGAACCGGTAAAAAAGTTTAAAGAATTAATTCGTATTTAATTGACTGTCAAAAGTTATAAGGGTAATTTTGGACATTTCCATACTGTGGAACATTGGTAACTATTCAAATTTCAACTAATAAACTGAGTAAAACCTGAAGCATGGTTAGTTCTGAATTCAAATTCGATAACACGTAATTAAATTTACTTACACTGTTCTAATATTTACCTTATGAATACATACTCCTATACTGTAACCACAGCAAAGCTTCCACGTTTCCACCTAAACCAAATACACTTTGACCTGAATTGTTATGGCTAAATAGCCATCTCAAATTTTCTAAGCATTTCGTGGCACCTTTAGTAACGCCTACTGTTAGGTTTTCCAACCACATTAGTCAACATGCTTCTCAATATAATTTTTTTAATTTAGACCATAGCCAGGTGTAAACTCAAGAGCAAAAAATTGAGATTTTTCATTGTAAAACCAGAGAATACCAGGAATGTGTAATGAGTACGAAAGAATACCACACCTATTACCCTCTTATAAGTTGCTTAAGCTTGTCTCTTTCTCCCATTTTTTTTAAATTTAACTTTTAGCACACTTACCTGTAATCATTTTTACGCCATGATACTGTTTTAAGCATACTTTCAATATACAGGGTGACAATTTGAAAACTTACCACCCCCCATATCTTAGTAAATAAACGAGATATTTAAAAAAATCAAAATCCGTTTCGGTAATTCGGTGGGGGAATCACAATGACATAGTTGGCGACGCACCCCCTCCAACCCCCTGCGCCCCAGCCACCCCAACTTTTAAATCTTAAATAGTGACCCCCCATGTGTGATACGTCGTTGGAAAGCTCTGAAAAAATGCTTTCCAACCATACCAAATAGCATTACATTTAGGTTAGTAATTATCGTGCAAATCAAAAAATAAACTAATATGATACATTTGAAATCTGTCGTATTTAAAACGCAACCGGCGAACATAGACGAACCAAGACAGATAATAATTCAAGAATGTCAAAATATTGCAAAACCAACATTTGAAAAGGTTCGACAAGAGTTTGAGAATAGATTAGAACTGGCCATCAAAAATGAGTTGCTGTCGAGTCGGCTTTGGAAGTTCAAGTTAAATACGATTTTCCATGTTTATTTTTTGATTTGCACGATAATTACTAACCTAAATGTAATGCTATTTGGTATGGTTGGAAAGCATTTTTTCAGAGCTTTCCAATGACGTATCACACATGGGGAGTCCCTATTTAAGATTTAAAAGTTGGGGTGGCTAGGGCGCAGGGGGTGTGAGGGGGTGCGTCGCCAACTATGTCATTGTGATTCCCCCTCCGAATTACCGAAACGGATTTTGATTTTTTTAAATATCTCGTTTATTTACTAAGATATGGGGGGTGGTAAGTTTTCAAATTGTCACCCTGTACATACTATACTACATACTTACTTGTGTCATTTCCGTCATCACTCTCATACACTGGAGTAACATTATGACATAAAGCTAAAGCCTGAACAGCCTCTTTAATTCGAATATTTTCGGATTTCCGCAACTTTCCAGGATGCAAAGATTGATTGTCTGTATTCGAAAACATTTGTTTTATAGTCGATCGGACATCGTCAAAACTATCTTGGGCATAACTGACTGTACCCAAATGCACTCTCTTAAGTACCATCGAATTCTGAGTTAAGGTACCCGTTTTATCACTCAGTAAGTAAGATATACGGCCTAATTCTTCCGGAATTGTTGTACATCTCACTGCAGTACCTCTCATGTTTGGATCGTGATCGTGACTAATTGCCCACGAGTAGTAGGTTTTTCCCATATCCAGATTAACTCTCAAACTAAAAGAATGTCTGATTTAGTGAGATTTGATTAAAGGTGCTTTCTTGGGTAAATAAATGGCCACTCATGTTTCATCACAGATGGAAAAGCAATGGCCACCCTCTCCATGTCACAAACAAAATTTTGAACTGTTACAAACCGTTTGGCCATTAGGCGGCATTTCCCGAAAAAAGGTTAATTTCTCTGATGATCTATAACTTCCAAGTCAATTTATGAAAAAAACTTTCTCTTACAGTATTTATTATTTTTAAAAACAAAATCTTTCTCTTTTCAAAATTATAAAGCGATCTACCTAAAGAAAAAAATATACTGGGTGTCCCATAGACAAAGATGTTATAGCAAATTTACAAATTCACTTCACCAACTCAACTTATTGTACATGCTTGGAGAAAGTTGTTACGGAAATCTGAGAAATTCAAGAAACGCCATCTAGTAGCCAAATTAAACAATGACTTTCTCATTGAATTTGACCCTGAGAGAAAGGAGGGAGCAATATGAGTTCTTAAGCAAAAATCTTACCTGATTGGTATAATGTACGAAAAAAGGAGAACGAATCGAAACATATATCTATACCATGGCCCTCCAAATCCCTTAAGAGCCATCATAATTAAAGCTAAACCTATCACGGCCACAAATAATACTTTCGTAATTGTGTTTACTTCCAAATCTAGCAACCCTACTTTCGATCTAGGTGCAGAATTATTCATAACAGAACGTGTCTCTGGACCTGAAATAAATCATTCTGTATGTTTCACAACTAAATTAATGCATCACCTGTGTAAATCACTAAGCCGAGTGCCTGACCCGAAGCAATTACACAGTTAGTCCAAAGAGTATTTTCAAGATCCAAACTTTCGTCACCCATTAAAGAATCGTGCTAAAAATCATTGAAGATTATGCATGTCAAAACAAACAACAATATGTACTCTAGTAAATGTTCCAATAAACGAATGTATGTCCTTTTGAGGTTTTTCAGCATAGATACTGGCGTTGATTTCAAATAATTGATGGTCAGTAGACAGTTTTTGCGTTGCGGGAACTGCAAGCCTCAATTTCCAGTCCGTCTCTCCATCCAACTGATCAGTTCGTACAAAGACAGCCCCACTTTTTTCAGATGTACGTAACAAGAGCAAGTCGGCCGGTACCCGTTCATCTTTGTCAACGATGATTAAATCGCCTACTTTTAATTTGGATGCAGGAACTGTCTCGAAACCCTTATCTGTGTTTTTGACCAGCCGTTTGCACTTCTGATTGTTTACTTCCTGATCTCGTTTGTGTCTGCGTAAGTCGTCTACAGCTTCGCGACATAATGTAACAAACAGTACAAAACACTGCAAAGTTAATTAATTAGAGGGGTTGTAAAAACACATATGTAAATATACTACAGATCGCCCATATAAATTGGTTACATTTACATATTTGATCACAATAATCAGTACAGATTTCTTTTTTAAACTCGTGATTAAGTAATACTGTCTAAAAAACAACAAAGTTTTATAATAAAAGTAAACGACGTTTATTTCATACATTTATTGCAAATACCTACCTACTTGATTTGAGATACAGTTGACTGTCGTTTATCTGGGAGCTGCTTAACCTGAGGCTTAACCGGTTTGCATTTCAACCATGCCGCGGTTTTTATACTGCTTTGTACATTATTTTACAAAACTTAATGTTACCAAACAGTAAGGTTTATGACTTATCAGTAACAAATATTTTTTTTTATTTTTATCCAAAATCGTCATGAAACTTCATTTTCGCCCCAGGAAATTTTAGTTTCCACGACCAGACTATCTTTCCTAGCGCCTGTCACTTTACCGGTCGCGCCCGTCACATTGGTAATGTCTATAATGCCATGTTGATTGAGCAAGATCTAGTTACCCATGGATGTTTCATTGAGACATGATTTCGAAATTTTTCTTGTAAATTTATGTACGAATTTCGAGACGAATTTAGAGTGTGGCACGTCATTATTTTTCATTTTTTGTCCTCTATCTCAGTGTTTCTCAACGGGGGCCATGGCCCCCTATGACGGATTTCTTGGGGGCCACAAACGAAAGACCGAAAATTGGTAGGCCATGGAAACTTTTCACAGGGCCACGAAAATTCACTTCTTCAATATCTTACCGAAATATTAAAATTAAATAAACTTACAAAAAATGGCCAGTACAAAAATTATACCACAATAACCCCGTATCCTTGTTTGTGTTATCTCAATGTACCTAGAAAGCACTAAACCGTAATCACAACTTTAATTGTTTATAAATGGCAAACGTACAATGCAATTGATAGAAACGATACCAGAAAAGTTTGTTATTTTTTTCTAACACGCCTAATACCCCTCTCCCGCCTACCAGGAATAGTTTTCCTACAACTTTCAAATTTTTATAAAACAATTTCAGCGTCAAAACAAAATGAGCTTGAAAATGGTTTTTTGATTTTTTATAACTCAAATTAATTTTGATCTAATGTAAAATATTGAAATACCCAAGCACATACCACATTTAATGGCCTACATGCTATACATTTTTGTGCAGTCGGAGAAAGACGTAAATGAGTCTAAAAACACATATAAAGCTACTCAAATTTCTCGGGGTATGACCCCCCCCCCCAGGGGATACCCACGGGTCTAACGCGGAGGGGGGCCACAGAGATAAATAACATTCACAAGGTTGAGAAACACTGAAGTCTATCTCATTCCGTAAAAATTCAATATGGCGCCCATAAGAAGGTAACGAGGAAAGTAATACTCTGTTGCTTCTACATCTAACATGTTATGGAAATGCTGATAAGAGATTCAGATTCTTCCAAAAAAAGTGTCCATATAAAGTACTAACGAGAACTGTCAATTTCTGACCGTTTAAGTTAGGAAACATGAAAATGAAATTTGACATTTTCAGTTTTTCGGTTATATCTTAGTTACTTTCAAAGATTTTTGAAAATTTTCAAATGAGCTTTTTTAAGTCACAAAAAGGGACACCTCTGGCCCCATTTAACCTACACTAGGTAGGTATATGCCAGTAATAGAAATTGTCTTAATTCAGTCCGACAAAAGGCTATATATACCTACATCATTGAATTCAGAATAAAAAGGGTTTTAAGAATATAATATCGGACTATCAAGGCCCTGTTTAAAAAAAAATGAAGTTGATGGTTCCGCAAAGACAAAACCGAGAACAAAACTTATTCAAAAATACAACTCCACTTTAAAGGGCATTAGAAGTTGCTATGCAAAAGTATCATTGGTTTTGCTCTAGGTAAAATATTAACCGAGATATTAACGGTAGAAAAAAATAGTTGATAAAATCGAAAAATCTAATTTGTTCAAAGTATTTCAAAAACCAAAAAATTTCTTCTTGGACCTTTGATTGCGCGACTTTTGTTCTATTTACCCAAATTTGTCACTGTTACCCATAGTAACCCTCTTATCTCAGACACAGTGTATAACTAACTAAACAATGCTTGTATAAAATGGTATTGTGGATACACACCTAGATGTTACAAATGTCGTAAACGCCAGGGTTCCTAAAGGAGTATAAACTAAGAATGTTATTATGACAAATCCTGAAATTAATATTAAAGTAAACGAAGAATATGATTATGCACTCAGACACTCCTGGGCTTATGTCACCATTCAGCAGTAAATATTGGCAATCTTGACATCACGATTATATAAACACCTTCATTACCCTCCATAAGCAGATACCTAGCATCTTTTTAACAAACACAATCACAAACCTAAACCGTAAAATTCAAGAATTTTATTTATAAGTTCATTATTTGTTTATGTTTTTTTGGGTGCCTGTTTAATAATTTTATTTATTTTTTTTGTATGATTTATAAATTTCAAAATAAGTTGAGCGAGCTACATGAACAAACTGTACCTTTCCGATAGCTCGGTCATGACCAATCTGTAATATATTTACATATGTGGTAAAGGTGAAGAACTTACCAGTGGTCCCCAATATGTATATAAATATCCAATTCGTATATCAGGCACAAACTGACTAGTTGCCATGATTAAAAAATACAAGTTTAGGAAAAATTTGAACTGTTGATAAAGAACGATGGGTAGAAACGTTATAATGTTATACTTTTGATTTCTTATCGTATTGGCAGGGAACTGTCCAAGCGTCGGCTTCCCTAAGTGTATCGTGCGAGAACGCAGCTCGCGAGGTCCGCAACATCTTCGCCACATCGAACACATGCAGCTACAAACAAAAAATCGTCCCTTTAATCACGGCCCTCGCTAGTAATAAGCTACCTGAAAAATGGTTCACTTTGAGATTTCACAATCAGCGGTATATCTTCCTTTGATGTAGGTTTATTGAGAGTAGTTTGTGATTCAACAGACTCCATTGTTTTTAGGCAATGCAGTCAGCTGCACAAATGCGAGTTACACAAACACAAACGAACAATTCAAGCACAAGCAATACGAGAAAACTGCATTACAAGTTAAATTTGTCACTAATTAACGCATAATAATAAAACCTGTTAAGTGTTTACCATTACATGTCAGGGTCGTCACAACACAATGAAGTTATCACTTAACCTAAACTTCACTTACCAACATAACAAACTTGTAAAAGATTTACGTTTCCGAGGTGTTCTGCTTTGAACTGCTAGCCCACATTCCGTATCGCTTCCACGATTTATCGAGCCTCCAAGTAAAAACTCCGTTTCGTCTTGTAAATCAAAATTTTGTAAAGGATATTCCATAACAGACTGGGAACTGTTCCATAACCTTACGTTATAAACTATAATATTTTTTCTAGCTACTAAGCGTATTCATTTTGCAAGCATTTATCAAATTTATAAGTACTGGAAGGCTTAAATTTACAAAGCTTTTTGCTTTTAATGCTTACGGTTTTCGACGATTTGTCATTTTTATGTTCCAAAGGTGGTAAAAGGTTAGATTTGATATTTCTTATTTTTTCAAATTTCTATTTGACATAAATATCCCGTTAGATAAACCGGACTGGATAAGCTCGAATCTCATACTGACATGCAATTGATTAGATTAAAAATATTATTTCTAGACATTCTTAAGATGATTACTCATAAACATAGTATTGCAGATGGCCAATTACGTTGTTTATATGTGTTGGTGATAAGATATGCGATAAAAAAGTAACTTATACGAACACGAAGGATACCGATTATTAAATATTCTCACGTAAATTTAATTACGTGCGGATTATTCAGTAGTTTTCTGCTATTGCAGGTCCCTGCCCTGGTGGCTCTTGTCCACAACTTTCGAATCTCTATCCCATTGAATTTATAACTATCTATAATTTATAAATTCAATGCTCTATCCTCTCTTTACCCCTTCATATCCATCTTCTCCCTCCTTCGTCAACCAGTTCCTTCTTCTTCTTCATCTCTACTAGTTCCCTCGATTATTTCCTTCATGAAACAGTCCTTCTTAATACATGTCTAATCCAGTACATTTTCCTGCGCTTTATGATCTTCATACATCTTTCCGCTCCAATTCTGCTATAAGTACTTCTACATTACTTAATAAACCTCTCGCCAGGAAAGATTGCCGGTCACAGAAGACCTGATCCCGGTCTACAATCTGTGTTTTTCTAAAGATGTGAGCGACTTCCGGGATAGGATCGTGCCCATGTTGAACAGACTTTTCGTTCAACATTGGCACGATCCTATTCCGGAAATCGTTCGCATCTTAAAAAAAACATAGATTGTAAATTGGCACAAGGTGTGCTGTGACCGGCAATCTTTCCTGGCGAGAGTTATATATATCTTATCAGTCAATTTTGATGTTCATATCATTCTTCTCCATATGCGCATTTCAAAAGCTTCCAACCTTTCCTGATCTCTTCATTGCTGTCCACGTTTCACGTACGTTAGCGGTTTATTAAGCGGCAGAGCAAAGCGATGCAAGCTTTATAGGGGAGTCGATGGTGTCTGTCTGTCCATGAACACGATAACTGTCACGCTTGGACCAAATTGATTCAAACTTTGCACAGTTGGTCAGTCAAATCCAATGACCCCCATCACGTCTCTCTGTTTCTGCCAAACGCTTGAACCTAGTTAGTTTAAACTTTGCACAGTTGATCTATATGCCACAAGTAATAGCCTATTGAAAATGGGTCAAATCCAATGACCCCTTGGGGTCACGCCTATCCGTTTCTGCCAAACGGTTGATGAACCTATCCACTTGTAACTAAGTCTATGGAAAATGGGTCAAATCCAATAACCCCGTAGGGTCATGCCTCTCTGCCTCTGGTAAACGCTTGAACCTATTCGGTTCAAAGCCTGGTTCAAACTTTACACAGTTAACATATATACCACATGTATCAAATCAATTGAATGTGGGTCAAATCCAATGACTCCGTGGGGTCACACCGAGGTGCTCTGCCGCTTTTTTAAACGCTCTTTATGGGTTTATTATATGTTACCGTTAATAACCGATATTAGTAAAAAATCGTTTTAACTATCTAAAACGCACATTAACTGTAGGAATTTGTTAAGACGGGTATTTACTAGTCAAAATGCGATGCACCTGCAGTGTTCAGTAAATAGCCGAATATTATTAAACTTTGTTTTGTGTTTTGGCTGTTGAAAGTGTTGACTGAACTAAACTAGTCTTCCGACAGTCAATTTACTAAAACTAGTTTTAACGGAAAAATACAGCAAGAAGCCCAAATGTCAGTAAAGATGATAAATAAACCCAATCTATTTACATTTAGTAACTGTACGTTTTAGTATAGTGTCTGCTGTTAGCTGTAAGAAGTACGAATATAATGGAGAATTGGAAAGAGAGGTTCATTCTTAGACCATATAGTACATGGACTGCTAATTGCAACCAAAATTTGGTCAAGGACATCGCCTGGGTATATAAGTTTCAGGGTAAACGAATCTATCAGAAGTTGTTCGATGAGACACGATTTGAACTGTCAACCTTTAAATTAACAAACGTCAAATAATCGCATAGAAATTCCAAAAAATCAAACCTATTCCTATTTGTAGAAGTATAGAAGATAACGAAGAGCATTTAAAACATCTCGTACGACTTGACTGCTACAGAAGCTGCTGTTTTTGTAATACGAGTGGTGTTTACACGACTTTAGTTTACCCTGAGATTCACATACCCACGACTACAGCGCCCCCTATCCGAGACCACCTATTTTGTATTGAAAGCATAGGGCTAATAGCAGTCCATGTACTATATGGTCTAAGGGTTCATTACTAAATTAAAAAATGGAAAACAATTGGAAAAATCTGAAAATCACTTTACCATTTTGACACGAAGCGATATAAACAATATTCTGGAAGAGGTATAGTTATAATACATGACTTCCTTATATCGTTTTTAACAAGTAGGAAATACTATGTTAAATACAATAATACAACTTCAAAGGAGTATACGACACAGCAGTAGTTGTAAGCGCTGAGAACTCAGACTTAGCTTTGCAAAAATTAAAAAGGGTTGTTCACGAATTTTTAACTTGGTGCAGCACTAATAAACTGAAGATAAACTCCGACAAAACAATAGTCATGAATATGACCAAATCTACACAGAATCACCCCTATGAGATTTTCATTGAGGATTCACTGATCTCTTGTAAACCACATAGCACGTATCTTGGTACTATAATTGATTCCAGTTTGTCGTGGCTTCCTCAAACTGAATACGTTATAAGTAAGCTTAACTCATCGTATTATCTGTTATCACGACTGAAACAACAATTCGATGAAAATTTGTTACTTAAAGTTTACTACGCGGTTGTGTATCCATATTTAAGCTATAACATTACATGTTGGGGAGCAAGTACACATACTCACAGAGTATTTATATTACAGAAACGTACAATACGATTGATGTACAATCTTAATTACGCTCAAACATGTCGGGACACTTTCAAAAATCATAAAATAATGCCACTGCCTTGTATATATATCTTTAAATTACTTATTTATCTTCATAAAAACCGACACAAATTTAACAAAATAAGTCAAATTCACGATCACAACACCAGAGGTAAAAATAAAATCTTGATTCCAAAACACCAACATTCATTTTATAAAAAATCTCCGTTTTACACCGGTTCAGTATTATTTAATAATCTGCCTGAAACTCTAAAAAAAATGAACCACTCCCTTTTCAAAAATAGAACGAAACAAATATTACAAAATAATTCTTTCTATTCAGTAAATGAATTTGTTGATTATATATCTCTAGGTAATAAAAACCTAATGACTGAATGCACCTGAATTGTTAGTCCACAAATTTACTGTTGTCCATACATGTTTTGTTTGTGATTTGACGTTTCTGTAATTGTTATTTACAATTTTTAGAATTAAAGATTATTATTATTATATAAAGGGTTCTCGTCATTTACTTAACAAATCTTTCGTTTAATAAACAAGATACGAGCATCAAAATAGTTTTTGACACGCCATGAATTTGCATTTGTTGTCTTAAGTTCTGTAGCGCATTAAAGATATTTACCATTACTAAAAAAACTTACATATATTAGGTAACTACACAACTATATCAACACCAACTTTTTTGGGGATCATAACGCCTAAATAAACCAATACTTAAAATAAAAACTATGCTGTAACTATACTTTTTCTGAAAAAATTAGTTACCCTGGCCATATTCATTTTCAGTCTTTTAACCCAAATGACGGCAAACCAAATAGCGAAAAAAGTAGAATACCTCTTAAGATAAAGATCTAGTAGCGACACAGTCGTAGGGACGGGCGGACAGATGGACGGTCACGTTTTTTTATTTTTGTGGAAATGTGCTAAAAAGAAAAAGAAACGACAGGGTCGTCTTCTCTAGGTTGAAACAATGTCGAAGATGTGAGTGAGCTACCTTGTAGAGTAAAAATATATGTTGTTAACGTAATTTGCAATATTGCAAATGATAGTCGGAACATCCTGTATATATCGTAATTTAAGTTATTTTATAAGAGGTGTGAATTTTTTATTTCAAATGTCCACAGAATTAAAAAAAATTGTTGAATTGTCATTGTTAGTTTCCCATTGTAAATTTAGTGGGTTTATTTAATTCTAGTTCTTGTATTTAGCTCGCGTGAGAAGTTTAAAACGCATAGGTACATAATAGAACAGTTAATCGTAATGTTGACCTTTTTAGCTGGTTTTGCGATAATGCCACGTGCGAGATAAGCAGCGCAGGTGGTTATCAGTTCGTGCGACAGTGATGGAATTTCGGATTTTTTGAAAAAGAGCGTAAAGACAGTGACGCTATCGTATACCTTTAATCTAGCCGGCTTTGTAATTTTTTAAAAAAGAAGAAAAACATAGTAGTCATGTTGACAAAGTAATTCTTGTTAATTTTTTTTATCAATTCATTATGTGTCAATTTGAGGCGAAATCGATAACCTCACGAGAAAAAACTTCACTTGGTCTTCAGCTGTAAAGCTACAATATTCCCAGCAAAGATTTTTTCCTATTAACGCCTGTGTGGGAACAAGAAAATCTCCACGGTGACAGATAGCCATGCACATATTGAAGGCTTTAGGGACGCAAGAAGTGACTGGCTTAGTGTGGAAGTGCATTCAAAACGTGAGCCAGTTTGCGAAAAATAATGCAAAACCTAATACTGGGGTCTGAGCAAGTGCCATTAAGAACAATCAGAAACGGCCAGCCTAAAGAATGCCTGCTAAAGTTTAATAGTAATGATATATGCCTTTTGACAGGTCTCCTTACAAATTACTGTCGAATTAAAAGGCACCTCCGCCATGTAGACCCCTTTGCAGAGGGTGCTTGGAGGATACACAGGTTCCTTAGGGGAATAAAGATGCACCCGGGAATGCTACAAGATGCTGCTTCTAGTAGAAATCTCGATATCTGCAAAGAAATTGACACCATAAAAGAATAAGACTAAAACTAGAGGGTACCATAGGCCTTGAGAGGAAACCACCTCTGAGAATAACAATACCGCACTGTGTCTCGACCAATTTGCAGCTGCCATGACTGATTTATTAGGATAAGTGACCTTTTAAGGAGCTTAGCAGTAAGGCAGCAGGTACAAATCAGTCAAGTTACAGTGGTAGACGCTCCTCCATTCAAATGATTATTTTCACAAAAAAGTAAAATCCAAAAAGTTGTAGCTTTTTCTTTGGAAATCGGTTTTTGCCTGCAACTTTTGCTCCAATCTTGAATATGGTGGTCATTTTGGATCTACAGATCAAAATCTATTTTTTGCAGGGTTTTTAAGAAAGGTTCTTTTCATTAATCTAATGGGCAAAACAGCCATGCAAGTAAATTCCTTGCAAGACTTTTCAATTTGTAAAGACCACAATTTCAGTAAATCGGCTCTGGAGTGAACAAAAATTAAATTTCTAAAATAAAATTGTCAATACGTGGTAAGAAAGGTTGACTGATTGTAATGCACAAATCCCTGAAAAATGCACTTTACATATAACCACTAACATCGTCATTACCATAAGAGGATTTATACAATATGTGGATACCATTGCAAGACAATTAAGTTATGAGCAATTTTATTTCAAAATGTTGGGCGTCAATAATTGTACATAACTTATAAAATACAAAGTTTGAGACATTTCGATTAGTTAAGTACTGAAAAGGCGTTTAGAAAAATGTGTGCTACATATTTACAGTAAGAGACGTCTAAAGGCCTGTCCAGTTCAACAACACATAAATGTACTCCATACAATTTACTATTCACAAAAAATTAACATCACCTGTCGATCTTTTTACAAGAGTACCGAGAAAACAATTGACTACAATTTATATGGAAATTTGAAAGCACTAATTATGTTACTCTACCTAGCACTAGAAGTGAACTTTAAAAGTCATTCCTTAATAGTATGAAGCACACAATGTAAAAAATTACACAGTACGGTCTTAAAACAGCACTATTTGCACATTTAAAAAAAAACACATTTCGTGCAAAAATTTATTATTACATACTTCAATTAAATTAGTTACGGTCACTGTACAGCTCAAAAATGTGTACGCTTTTTTGGATATAGCTGCACAAATCTCAAACTTGACATAAAATTTGATTTTATATTAGGACAACCTCAGACAACGTACAAAATAATGATTTTAAAATTAAAATACCCACAAATGTACTCAGTATCTACCTACTCTCAGTTCTTTCAGATGCAAATTTGTATTTGCCATCATAAAAATGAAATAAATTGTACTAGTAAACCAAAATTATCCTTCGATAGCCTTTGATGCAAATAACTCTCATTTGCAGACAATGTGAACTTTACTCTCCATCTCCTTTCAAACATAAACGTGAGTATACTTACTCACCAGATTTTCCTATTTTGGCATAGTTTGTACAGACTGTGACAGTCTAAGTCAGAGGTGAGCTGTCTGCTATCTAATCACATTTTATATAAATAATAAATTTAAAATCAAACCTAATTCTTGTCATAATGAATAATAAATAATCACTAGATTCACTTACTACTGTACATAACTTTCAAAATATATACACTCACTTATCATACAAAAATCATAAACTAAGAACTGCATTAAATTTCCATAAATGAACGCAAAACCTAACGTAGACTCACCAATATAATAAACCTAAAATGTATCACTTCCTAATCACGTTTTCCAATTGTGCCGTCCCGCTTGTGGTGGTATCATATCCAGTAGGTACTGCCTCTGCAGATCGGCCGCCCGTTGCAAGTCTGCAAGGTTCGGTGTGCCACCTTTGGTACTTGCTGCTTGCGCCATTGCTAGCTGATAGGGATAGAAGAGAGGCGAAAATTGTAACATGTGCGCCGCTGCTGGAGGTCCACCTGCTAAAATGATTACCGTGTATCACAATGGAACAGAAAAAGTATTGTTTTGATGGTGTAGTATGGATACATTTTTTGGTAATGTTAGTATACTACAAAGATAATATGAAATAGTAATGACTATAACATTATTTTGTATGTAAAAAATCAAAATAATAATAAAAAGTAATGTGTTTACAAAATAAGATTCACTAATTGTTCTGGCCAGACCATGTTTGGCAGGTGGGTAAACTATTACATGATAGTTGTCAATCTTGCTGCATAGTTTTGGAGTTTCTGTTTTATAAATTAAAATCAATTTTTGTCAAAACTTTGAAGTATTTTCATTGAGTTGACCGCTTGTTATCTTCATCAATTGTATAAGACATAATTATCAAAAATAACAAAATAAAGATCTTTTCATGCCAATTTTGTACAAATTATAGTTTCATTATTTTTCAGATAAAACTTCAAGGCTTTGTTGCAGACTATGCCCCCCCCCCCCAAAATTACCAAAACCGCTTTTTTCAACAGTCATAATACATACATACAAAAATGAAACCAATATCGATGTTGGTTTCTGAGTATATTGGAAATTTTTGTCTAAAATTCCTACTCTACTTCACGAAATTTGGTGTTTGAATATCTCTAAAAATAATGAATCCAAACTAAATGTCCATTCCAAGTTTCGAGTGGACCACAAAAAATCAAAGATATCAAATTATACAAAATACATACAAAACCCCCTATACTCCACTGTAATATTGAATAAATTCGAAGGCATACATCCAATGCTACAAGACAGGGAAAAAATTGGGTGATTTTGTCTTCACAACTTGGAAATCATGTGAATAGTTCTCATACACAGCACAGTAATTATCTTAATTTATGTTAATTGCTTTTAAAATACAATACAGTAGACTCTCTGTAAAAAATTTGTTGTTTACAAACGTAAATTCTGAAATAGATAAAAAACAATGGACAAATACATTTAAAGACTAACTTACATTGAAATCGGATGAACACCATTGACAATTCAAAAACTTGTTAATGTTGTAAAAACTTTGTTTTCTTAAAAATGTTTTAATTTTAATTTTGAATTTTTTGGATGGTAGCCTTACTACTTTGTTAGGCTTTGTTTAAAAAGAGAGGACTGTATCTATTATATTGCAATCTCATATAATGACGCCTCACCAGTTCACCACCCCTAGTACTGTAATTGTGGATTTGATTTAGTAGAGTATAGCAATGTGATTGTTGCTTAGCATACAGTAGACACGAATATACAGGCTGCTCCAATTTCGAGGGCCACCATTGGGATCTCGGGAACTGTAAGAGATAGGTAGTTTAAATTTGGCAAAGTTGCATATTTTGATACTTAACAAAATGCAGTTTTGAAACTTTAAAAATAAAGTAAACTGTCTGACTATTTTCGGAGATATCCGGCAAACACCGAAATTTTGCATAATCGTTTTTATTTTTTACTGAAGTTATTTAAAAAGATATTTAGAAATAAATAACACATTATTATGGCCACTTTTTTCTCTCTACAAGATGCTAGTTTCAAATTTTAGATCCAACGTTTCGTCTCCGGTTGACCATCATCAACTTTGTTTTTTCTTTGGAAGTAATTTTTACTTTTTGGGTCATTTGATAGTGAATTCAAAAGAGAGTTAAAAATATAAACATCACAATTTTTTTAAATTTTTTAAATATTTTCTTTTTTGCCTATAAACCTTGGATAGTGTACGTACATAGTTTCTTGCGTTTTTACGAATTAATAGCGCTAATTATGACTAAAAAATAGTCATGTTTACATTTTTTAAATCAGAAAAAAATTCTACATCAAATGACAGTAAAAATTGCTTCCATAAGGAAAAACAAAATTGTTGATGGTTGACTGGAGACGAAACATCAAACTTAAAATTTAAAAGTAGCATCTTGTAGAAAGACAAAAGTGGCCATAATAATGTATCATTTATTTCTAAATATCTTTTTAAATAACTTCAGTAAAAAATAAAAACGATTTTGCAAAATTTCGGATTTTTCCGGATATCTCCGAAAGTAGTAGGAATTTTTTAAGTTTCAAAACTGCATTTTATTAAGCATCACAATACGCAACTTTGGCAAATTTAAACTACCTACCTATCTCTTTCAGTTCCCGAAATCCCCATGGTGACCCTCAAATTGGAATCACCCTGTATATACAGCATGATAACGTGAGTATATCCAAAGAGCTGAATTTACTCTTGATATCTGCTCTGTAAAGGTGCGTATACATATGCGAGCCGAACCGTTCGCGAACCGCTCGCGAACAACTGGTTCGTTAGATTGGGACGGGATTTGTTAGCGCTCGCGAACGGTTCGCGAGCGGTTCGTGACGAACCGTTCCCTGTCGGTTTTTTCGACGAACACAAAGGGATTCGCAGTTCACATTGGGACGTGTTTGTGCGAGGTTCGTCGTTTTTATTCCGGTCGCGAGGTAATTTATAAATATGGAGTGGCCCGAGGAAAATATATTGCGGTTAATAAACATCTATAAATGTAGACCTTTATTGTGGGACCCCAAAAATGTTAACCATTTTAAAAAAAATTTAAAAGAAGATGCTTGGCGCGAAATAGGCGTGGAAATGGAGGTGTCTGCCACCAACGCCTTTGCTTCCTCTTTTTTTTAGCCAAACTACCCATCACGAGAGCTGCACTGCTCATAACCATAATAGTGTAAATTTCCTCGCGCGAAGACATGTTCAATATATAGAAGTACACAGCCGACTGCTGGTGGTTTGCGGCTGGTTCGGCTTTTCCATGGATCGTTGGAAGTTCGTTGTAAAATTAATTTCAAAGAACAGTTTTTGAGCGGTTCGCGAGCGGTTCGCGAACGGTTCGGCTCGCATATGTATACGCACCTTAAGGGGTTCCTATAATAGCGCGAAGAGCCCGGCGTTGAAAGCCAAATGATGAGTCCCCAACAAAAAAAAATTTGGAGAGAGCATCATACATTCTCAATCCATATATTATATTCTAACCGTTACAGTAATTAAGTGTGTGATTTGACAAGCAAATTGTTCAATTAACTATCCAAATTTGAAGGAAAATAAAGGGAAATTTTCATTTTTTGATAATGAATCTATATGAAAGAGTTTAAACCCTTAAACCCTTGTGGTATAATTCAGTTTACATTTTATCCTTGTTCACAGCTATTGTGGTTCATTACTATCAAATTGTAAAGAATATAATGCATTGATTTGTAGTATACTAAATTACCACCAATAATCCATCAACAAATACCGGCAGCTATTTATACATACTTCTAAGTAATTGTTGATGTAAAGCTTGCATAGCTGCCGCATTTTGAGCAAACTTGTCCTGAGAACTGGGATGAGATGATCGCGATGGAGGTGGAGTTTGTTGTGTATTTGGTGGCGCTGGTGGAGTGGGTGCGTGTCGAGGTGTTGGTTGAGGTGTTACCGCTTTAGGAACGACCGCCTCAGGTGTAACAGGCGACGGTGCAGGACTACTTGACGTTGTGAACACCCCATTCTGCACATAAAATCGTTAATCAAATCCGTCACGGTCTTTAATTCAAACTAATTTACATCCAAATCCTTAACTCTACAAATGGAAACAATAAAATGAACGACTACTTATTAAAATACAGTGCACTCCTGATTCAAGCTGTAACAGTTAATTTACCTGAGCCAGTCTTTGTTCAATTTCCTGTTCCTGTTGTAAAGCTTTGACAAAGGCAGTTTTAAGTCGATTTGTGTGTTCTGCTTTTAAAGCTTTCTTTACATTACTAGTAACACACTGTTCGCAAATGACTCGCAAATCTTTCCCTGCAAGTAACCCACATTAATCCACACCAGGAGTACAAGCTGACTTACCTCTGCTTTTCCCTTTACTCTCCCACTTCCAAACCGGGGTAAAATCTGAATTGCACTGATGACATTGGAAAGGTGTGGGCGGAGTTATCGTCCTTGTATCCTTTGTCAAAAAGTCCACTACGTGCTCAAGTCCGACGAGGTATATAAATTCGGTGTTACTTGGATTGGGTATGAAATGCATTTCGGGTGGGGGAGGTTTAGGTGGTGGAATCTAAATTGATAATTGTCAAAATTAGTTAATACTTCCAATATTTGTAACCTGTAGAAGGGTTTTTTCCAACTGCTTCCGTAGTGCTAACTTAGCTGCAGCTTGTCTTTGTGCGGGCGTTTGATTATCTTCGGCTCTCGAACGGTCCTAAGAATACAAATTCCATTTAACTATGGACTAAATATTTTTAAGGTAACGCAATGTTATGCAAAGCAAAATTGTGAACAGTTTCGATTAATCCGTGTAACTATTACATAAGATTGTTTACCTGCTCTGATGTAGACAACTGGCTCGATTGTGAGACGCAATTGCCACCAATGTTCTTATTATCTATACCACCTCCGCTCTGGTAGCAATGCAATAATTTGTTAAATGAGTGAAACAGTAGGTACAGCTTAACACTACTACACTAAGTTTCATGTTAGTGACAAGAGCTAAAGGAGGCGATTCTCTGTGTTATTAACTGAAATTCTACAATTATACCTTTATCGGTTGCGGCGGAGCAGGTGTAATGGTTACGGACGGTGACAAATCTTTTACACCAAGTGGAAATCCTGATGAGGAACGTCCCAGAGAACTCCTGGATGGCGGTTGAGGTACTGATAGATTAGCTGCCCGACTACTAAGAGGTGATCCCGATAATGGTGGAGCATGCATACTTGATCGTGGAGGTGGATGTTGCTAGAGTTAATAAAACAATCAAATAGCTAACTACATACAACAGCTTTGTCAAAAATGGATTCAAGTTCAAAATGGATTCAAGTTCATTCACATTCAGTCGCAATCAGTACCCAGTTTTTGATAGGAAATTGCAAGTTGCAGTAATTTTACAAGGAAAAATTCTGCAGCAGCACACTTTGTATAAAGGAGTCTAAGAATGAACCCTCGGTCTTAAACTACAGATACAGCAAATGAAGCCAAAGTTTGTGGGCCATTGCACTACCAATTCCTAATAATACAGATAAAGAAATACATCCAAATGGAGGTTTTGAATACACATTGACTCTCTGCAAATATAGTGGCCGAAAAAGAAACAATTCCATTCAACCTCAATATATTTCACCTATTTTTTTTTATTAATCGTCTACAGAAGTAAATTTATCTGATAACCGTCGCAACCACAAACTAAGATCCCGATAAAAACATAATAGTTCCAAAAATAGTATTACTAATTACAAAAACGCACCACAGAATAGTTAAGCTTAACAAACGTGAAAAAAAGGACAAATAATTAAATGAATGGCCTCATTTACGGGCACAATGGTATTAATTAGGGCCACAGTTTATCACTATATTTATTTGAGTACATACCTAATGACCATTATCATTCATGATAGAATTGAAAATATGCTCTGTTTGACAAAGGTGATTTTCTTTTCGGAAAATTATTGATAATACCGAGGATAATAGCTTAAGTGGAAGAAATTGAAAGTGTAGCCGTACAACAATCACCAACTCCAAAAAAAAATGCAGAAAATATGTAGCTCTTATCTCCTTTTGAAAAGTAAAGTCAGCGTCTCCATATGTAAAAAACACACGTGTTACGAGGTGCAAATATGTCTCGCTGCCCAATTATTACACAGATTGACTTTGATTATGGAGAGGAGTAATTCAGGGTTAGTGCTATTTTTGTCCCCTATATGAAATCCACACGCGTTTTAATTTTGCCTCTTTCCCCTTACTAAGTATGGCAATCCGTAGGTGGATACTATCAGGGCAGTTTCTCTAATTGGGGGGGGGGGCTCAATCTACTTGAGCATTTTAATAGTTTTACACAAACATTTTTATCAAGGCGTAATCAAGCCGATAAAGAATTAGTTACTGAGGATAAGGAATGAAAGTGGATGTGATGCGTTCTTTCTGTGAAATATGATATGCCAATCTTTTAAATTTTTCTAAAAGCAAAATGAATTGTTTTTAGTCATGGATGCAAGTAAGTAATAAATAATGAAATTCGCGCTCGTGTGTGATTGTGATAAATATAATTTAACTGTTATAAAAGGATAATGTGAGTTCCTGTGAACGTCCATAATTAACTTTATATAAATATTTAAATAAATTACGTACTAAATCTACCTTACAATGTTTAGTTTTAATTTTCGAATTATTCTTGTTTGTTGTAGAATAAATGAATTTATAAAATACGTTTTAATAGAGGTAGATTCGCAAACTTCCTATAAAAAATCCCTTTCGCCTCGGCCGATCGGGTGTAGGTAGATAGTATACGGATGCACAGTCTACTTGATGTGCGTTTAATTTTTTTAGGAACCAGCTTGCCTTAAAAGTTTAGAAAAATCCTCGGAAAAATCTGCCCGTTCGTCCTAATACAAAAGCAAACATCGCACTGTATCTAGTCTCTTTATAAAAAGCGGTATGGTTACACAAAACGCATAACATTTTCTTCTTGGAATTTGGGGGAGAGGGGGGAGTAAAATATTTGATCGTTTTTCTTTTCATAGCTCACGGATAATGTAAAAGGTCCAGAATAGCATAACTTATCTGTGTCCTATAGTAACAAAAATTAAAACCGTGAATACTACGCCCTGGTGCGAGCGAACCCAATGCATTCCATTTTAAAATTCCTTCTTTGTAAAGATGTTCACCATTATGAAAAATTACCGATATACTTTTGTGTACCTACTCAATAGTACTCACGTCTAATGAGTAATAACTTACCTCGTGTCAGCTAAATCCCCTTTTTGATTAAACTCTGCACTCAACGCTATTCAAGCATAACGAGTAAGCGAGTTTGGCTAAAACTGTAGCTTTTTATTACAAACTTTTCACTAAGTACTCAAAACTTCAACAGTACACATAATAATAAAAATTTTGAAAAAAGTTTGTCGTCTGAATTTCTTTAATTAATTTATTCAACTAGCCCTGAGAAATATATAAAACTTTCCCATATCAAAACTTCCACGAACAACAAATAAAAAAGGCCTTGTTTTTACTTTTTAACGCTACGTTGTATCTCAAATCTGTTAGGGCCATTCAACTCGACGAATTTTCCCCTCTTGTTACAATTTCCGAAATCTTAACGGAGAACATGAAACACACCCTGCAACCTCATGTTACGAATAAACATTAAAAAATGGGGATTTTGAACTTGGCGTGGCAAAACTCCATTGCACCTCAAAACCTCTAAGTCTAGTCTTCTAAATCGCTATTACAAAATCCTGATTTAAAATATACCATAACAAATTTGTAATAAAGTGGGTCGTTTTATCTTTCTCTCGCTTAATCTTGAACCGACAAATGTCAGTTTTAAGATTGAAGGGAGATATGAGCATATCTGTAAAGCAAAAAAAAGTCAACATTTTTTTGGGCAGCTCAAAATTAAATAATTCATGAATAATCAAAGTGGCTTAATTTGAATATTTTTCTAATTAATTGTGTAGACTTTCTTATTGAAATTTTATGCAAAAATGTAGTTATATGACCAGTATTTTTCTCTTAACCTTTTTGGGAAGTTTATTACTTATTCTTTTAAAGTAATTACATTTTCACGTAGTTACAAAATTTTTATTTAAATAATTCTTTATCTAATGCTGACACAAATAGATAACGCGCCGACGTGCACTCATTAGCATTGCCAAATAAAATAGGTATGAAATGTGTTGAGAAAAAAACGTATTCCACTGTAATCACTCGATGGGTGCGTTGTAGAAATAGCGCGATTGCGAAAGAAATCGAGCATGTGTATGATAAATTATTTATCTGACGATCACAGGATTATTGATACATACCTTGGTAAAAATGCCATGGCGACATGGAAGGTTGAAGATCATAAAACGCACCGTAATAAACGACGCCAAGTTTGTACAAAAGGTTGACAATACACAAATACCTTTTGTTTTTGAGTAATGAATAAATTAGCATGCTCAATTATCGCTTAGTGTACATGTGATAATCTTAAACAAATTAAAAATCCAGCGTTTTTACTAGCCATCTTGCAATATCATTAGCGGTGTATTTTCGGTCATTTTTTAGAAGACTAAATTAGCATAATCGTAAAAACCAGAATATCTTGACGGGTTGCAAACATCTATTATTAATTGTTCAACGGATATTCAATTTCTCACGAAAAACTGCAGTGCTACTGTCCCTCCTCTCCTCACAGTCTCAAAATTTAGGTTTGCTATTTTGTTCGCCATTAGATCTCCCATATTGGAAATTTTAATTAATGATCCAATTTCTTTGGGAGAACGGTGTAATACATCGCGAACTTATGATTTACTATATTAATCATCATTTTGGTGCTCAACACGTCGGCAGGTACAATTCCCTTGGCAAAAAGTGTAACGTATGATTTGTCAATTGCCAGCAAATAAAAATCGCGATCGTCAAGCACCAAGCCTAAGACTTGCTTTAAAATTCAACACCCTTCATCTCAAAGATTAATAGATTTATCTCAATTAACATAGATTCTAAAAATCGAATAAAATACAGGTTGTCACATTTTCAAGTTTGGGTAGGGGGGAGAGGGGGCTGTGGACTGCTTTTGAAACGCTCTGTAGAAATAATAGCGCCAACTACCAAATTTGAGTTTGAAAATTCTATGTAAGGTTTTCACCTTCATTTAAACAATGCATAGTCAATAATACCACATAATTTACCAAAGTTTAGAATTGATCGAGGAATTGATTTACATAAATCGAAATCGTGTCAACAGTTTATTTCTAGCGACCCCAAGATTTTCTTGCTGTTGTCGATTATTTAGGAAGTATTAGAAAATCAAGATCATATTCGCCGCCTAAGATACAATACCTAGGTAGCTACAATCTTAAAGACCGGTTGCACAAAAGTATGAGATTGGAGATTAATCCTAATCTGGGTGTTAAGAAACGTGAGACTTTTGACACTACCCAGTCAACTATAAACACAATCAGAATAATCCGATATTAACACCGGATGTTTTGTTCTGCAAGTGCAAATATATCGTGAATTCAGTTTCAGAAAACGGTGGTCACAAAGTGAAAATGAGTTCTCGGCCAGGCGCGTCTGTCATAATTACCGCAAATTTCGATGGTTTGACGACAATCGTTCCAAAATATTTTAAAATTGCAGTAGTTAAACTATTAGGCCCGAGATTAGGCCTCTAAGGCCGCTCCACTATTTATTTGTTTACTCCGAATCCGTTCAACATAGACCCACGAAATTTCAATGAGAGCTTGTCAATAGTACATACAATCAAATTATGGTGTCCGTTAATTTTTAATAACACTGGAAATAATTAATTTTAAGGTTTAAAGTCTTAAATATGAAAAGATGATAGTACATCCGTGTCTTTCTATTGGAATTGACTTTTAGCGAACTTTTGCTACCGCTCCGTTAACTTCAAGATGAGCTTTTTGTTGCTTTCCGTTTCACTAATTATAAAGCGAGTTTTAAGGGAAGAATATAGTTTGCTTTGCCGCAATTGCTTTTTCGCCGATTTGTGTTTTGTGGGTTTTATTCCCGCTAAGGAGGTTGTCGTAATTTTATTTTAGTTTTTCCGAAGTGACCGCTGCTCTCTTCTGAACCCGTCCGATTCCTAGCTGCCGTCTCTCCGGTTGAGTTTACCCGACGCTACCAACACCGACCGTTCGCTTGGTGGCGCCCGAGTCCGTCCGTTTAGCCGTTTCTTGCCAAGTTTCCGGAAAAATCCCAGGACACAACCTTGCACCACAAAACAAGGCCCCTCCTTAGTTACGTAACCGGAAAAATCCCCTTCACCAAAGGCGCCACTGTTCATAGTTTTTAAGTAGATTTGTTGCAAATTTTTAATAATTTTGTATACAAATAAAGGTGTTTGGACGAATTTAACAAAAGATTAACGTCTTTTCTAAGCAGACTAGTAAAATTGTAAAATTAGTTAACACAAATATTTTCCTAAATTTGAGTTTTTCTCTTAAATTTCATTATGTAATACATATAACAAGTTTTTTATGCTGCTGTATCCAAAAAAGTGTATACCCCGCGGTAAAAAAAAACTTCTTTGCAAATAGCTGAAAAAGCGTAGTTTTATAGATATAGGCTGGCATGATTAGATTTTAGGTTCCACGTTTCAGTTTTATAGGGGCAACTTTTTTTAAAATACGGATCTACAAAAAAATCAATAAAACAGACCAAAACAGAAAAAATTGCGAGTAGTGAAACAAATAGTTTTTTTTTTAAATAACTTCTTTCGTCAGTGACGCAAAAAAACTCGAAGGCAACAGCTCTTAAGATAAAGATCTGATAGTGATACAGACATTGGGACGGACGGGCAGACAAAGGAGTCACAATCTTCAAAAGTTGGAATATGTTTTTGCGTATTTTTAAATCTTCCAAATACAGCGAACTCCAGTACACGGTCTCATAAATTACATAAATTTTAAAATATATACAGAGTCCATTTCGAAATATACATTGTGTCCCAAATCGGGTGGGATTGCATGGGTAACTTTGTTATTATTAAAGATAGAGAAGTGGTTAAATGGGCAATGTTTTGCAGTTTTGGATGCTTATTTAAAATTTCCTTATGGAAATTCAAAATGTCGCATAGGTTCGACGTAAATTCAAAAAAACTAAAATTGGTCATTTCCTTGAATGTCTTATATCATCGAAAGTATAAGAGATATAAAAAAAAGTTTTATATAAAAGTGACTGTCTTTGATACGCTTAATTTAGAATTGATGTCAAAAAAAATTTAAGATGGCCACTTTTGAGGAACATTTACCAACTTCCTAAAGTTAAATGGGCGCCATATTGGATTTTTAGATTACTTGATAGATTTTTTAATTCTCTTTTCAACGAGCTATTATAACATAAGATTGAAAATAAGATACCAGTTATATTAACGGTTTTTGTATTTTAATCAAGTAGTCTGTGACGAATAAAAAAAAAACAAAACAAAATCTATTCGAGGCAACAAAACAATGAAAATAATTACACCAGATGTTTAAAATACTGGCCATTATTAGTGAAACACACTTCAAGACAGTTTAGTTTAGGCAACGTGTTGCCATTGATGATTATTATTATTATTGTAGTGGTAGCTACTTCCACTTTACTTTTATTTTTTAATTAAGTACTTACTTTTATAATTTAATGTACTGTACATAATTCGTGAATTGTGACCTGAGCAGCCAGTTTGTTGGTAGGTAGCATAAACTAACCCTTCCTTCGAAACATACGTTGTCGAGAAAAATCCTTTAAGGAAGTTTATTGGAGAATTTGTAAATAATGGTGAGCAGTTAAAGATCCATCGAAGATTACCGGTCCAATTACATGACTTCCCATTATGCCATAAAATACATTAATTTAAAAAAATATTACTTTTTGATTTTGGTGTGAAACTACAACATGTAGGTTTTCCTGTGACGAGTAGTGTTCATAATGTCGATTTGAACACTTCGCAGTTAGAAGCATAAGATTCATCTGTCCATATACTCGGAATGGTAAAACTGTTAGTTTCGATATTCTTGCGGATAAACCACCTACAAAATGTGACCTGGCACAATGCATCAATGGTAATACATTGTGTAAAATAAAGCGAAGTGTCTTGAAATGTCTTTAACTGGATAATGGCATGACTTTTTTCGAGGGGATAGTTTGTAGTTATACCACCATTTGTAGGTATGTAAGTATGAAATAAGTCAATAAGTGATGTTATAAAAATCAAATTTTTCTAGACCTAATGCTTATATAAAATTTTGGAGGGAGTTGTAATGCCCAAACCCCCCCTCATGAGTGCGTCCCTGATTTAAACATTAGATGTAATTATTTTCATTGTTTTGTTGCCTCGAATAGATTTTGTTTTGTTTTTTTTAATTCATCACAGCCTACTTAATTAAAATATAAAAATCGTTGATATAACTGGTATCTTATTTTCAATCTTATGTTATGATGGCTCGTTGAAAAGAGAATTAAAAAATCTATCAAGTAATCTAAAAATCCCATATGGCGCCTATTTAACTTTAGGAAGTTGGTAAATGTTCCTCAAAAGTAGCCATCTTGAATTTTTTTTTACATCAATTCTAAATTAAACGTATCAAAGACAGTAACTTTTATATAAAACTTTTATTTATATCTCTTATACTTTCGATGATATAAGACATTCAAGGAAATGACCAATTTTAGTTTTTTTGAATTTACGTCGAACCTATGCAACATTTTGAATTTCCAAAAGGAAATTTTAAATAAGCATCTAAAACTGCAAAACATTGCCCATTTAACCAATTCTCTATCCTTAATAGTAACAAAGTTACCCATGCAATCCCACCCGATCTGGGACACACTGTATAAGATAAGGTGATTCAGAAACGGATTTTAGGCTACTTTCTTGTGCAGTAAAACTCATCTTGTCACTGATACACTTACATCTCTCTCGCTTTCAGACTCAACTCGAATCAAAATTTACTCAAAAAAATTGCCTTCGAATTTTGGAACACGCTGTACTCGAGGCTGTACTCAATCTACACGTAAATGAATATAATATTTATATACACTAAATTATACGTCCTGACAACACCCAAATAATGTTGCGTCGCGAACTAATACTATGCCTGTTAGCACCGTGTAATTACACTATGCTGTTAGTCTCTATTTCTGAGGGTAGTTTGATTTGCATGAAAAGTGTACAAGTGCTACTCCCAAAACATCTCGCTGACGGAGCGGTCACCTCGATGGATCCAAATCAAATATCGTGATTAAAATTTCGCACTCTCGAGACAGGGACAGACGGAGACCTCAGCGCCCAAGAGGTCTCAAAGAGCACTTGGCTATGAAAACGTCTCGGAAAACGTATACTAAAACCTACTTGTTGGACGAATATAAATCTTGGTTGAAACTAAAATGTGTCTAGGATAATTCATTCATAGGATTCATAAACACATACGCGACAAATAAATATGAAGTAAACTTACCCCTCGTAATAAAAGCGGCACATTTCCTCCCTGTCCCGGTTTATGTAAGCTCGTATGTCGGGAATGTGCGGTAGGTGGTTGTTGAACTTTATTAATTGGAACCTTAACTGTCGTAGGTGTTATACTTAAACCACTAGGTAAACCGGTAGGTGGTAGCGCCGACGGTGGTATGCTCGGCGGCAACACGGCCACATTTTCTTTTAATTGCTGAGATTGTTTTAATTTTTTCAATAAAACTAATTTCATTTCTTCCGCTCGAAGTTCCTCCCTTAATCTACGCAGACCTCTCTCTCTGCGGGGAGGCACAGAGAAAAAAAACCCAGTTAATTTGCATAAATTCCCATTTTAGAAAGCTTACCTTTGTTTTAACTCAGACGGGCTGAGCTCTTTAATTGGCGCTAAAGGTGGCATTTCCCCTTCACTAGAATCACTGCTATAATCTACATTACCATTTGTACGAGGTTTTTCTAGGGTGCCGTTAATGATGACGTCGGGACTTTCGACGTAGCTACGAGGTTCAGTTCGTGGCCGTAATACTCTTCTCGAACTAAGGGTGTGCTGGCTATTATTCGTAGGGATGCTATTTATTAGTAAACTCTGCTGCGATGGCAGGGGAATCCGATTGTGACTACTGCAACAAAAAGATAAGAAAATCGTTAGTTGTTTGACAACGTATGACGTCTCTTTTATCGTGCGCGGTCAATTTGTCACTTGATCTATAGATCAATGGTCAACACAATTTACTGATCTTGTACAGATAAAACTAGCTTCAAGGGAGGTGATCCACAATGAGACCGCGATTAGCACAACAAGTGACGACATTATCGCACCACTAAGACACATACTTAAGAAGTGTTAACCCTTCATTGTCTACAACATAGTTCAAATGTGACACGATTACTGGACAGGTTTATGTTATTTAAATGATTAAAAACTTCACTGGAAAAACCTTTTTTGACACAGGAGCCGAAACTATTACAGGTTTTTTTTTAGTTTGTCGCGTACACGGCACTTTTCAAAAACCTTGGGCTAAAACTTGCACATCTTCCGTCCGTCTGTGCAGTGCGCCTTATTCTCTAGCTACCTTTATTAGCACATCCAAGATATTCTCAAGCACGAAAGTACTTTATTTCGTTTCTTTTTTGGTCAAAATGTGCAAAAGGGCGAGGTGAAGGTTTTCCGAAAAGATTATCTTTTTATACTTTTTTAGTCAACCCTCAATAAATTAGTACAACGAATTATTGTATATGGTAAGTGATTCATCTCATCAAATGTTTCACTTATTACACGACCATTCAACTTCTCTGATAGGTACTTAATTAGCGTGATTACGTTATATTTTGCATTATGTAAACATCCAAATCAACAAGTTCAAATATACCCAGACGTTGGCAAATATACATACCTTCTATTAAGATGTTAAGAAATTAGAAATTAGAAATATTGTTCCATCATTAAAATATAAATAAAATCATGTATGATTCTATAGTTTAACTTAATTCGTAGCTATAATAATAAAATTGGTAATACATAATCGAATACATAATGTACTTTAGCGAGTGACTTAGTATCTATACAATGCGTTCGAGATAAGAGGGTCACCTCAATATTTCTTTTTTTGGCGAGATACGAAAAATTTTTCCAATATAATTTTATATGTGACATTACGATCTATCGTATCGCACATTGAAACTTCCCATATCAGTTTTAATCGGAAATCGATCAATTTTTGTTTTTCAAATGCAATGCCTGTTTTTTTAAGATCTTTGAAACCTACAATTCGTTTGCCGTACGACATCATAAAATATGCTGCATATGGTTGATATACTTACAACAAAATTGAGAATCATGATTCAATATTTGGAAATCTTATGTATAAATAATACGCGTAACTTGCGTAAGTGCGACAATTTTACCGCTTGCTAAAATCGAGCAATGGTACATATTACCTTCTAATATAGCAATTATCACATTTCTATACAGGGCGATTTACGAGAAGCGGTTTCAAAATCTCGCAAAAAATTAACAATTTACCTCGCAATTTCATATCTCGGTCGATATTATTATTAAATGTTATTAAAAGATTCGATATGTCGATAATGATATTTAAGTAGAGTTCCATTACAATAACTAAGCATTATTCCAAGTATAATATCGTCTTAAATCGTTAATTTTTTAGCGCATTTCCACAAAAATAAAAAACAAGTTGTAAATCAGCATATGCATGATTAAAGCGCATGTTTGGTAATGCAGGTCAGTATTTTATTAGCGAAATTTAAAATTATCGATCTCAGGAGTAATTTTGGCTGCGTTAAATAATTAATGTTATTTAATTTCAATTGACGGTACGTCTTCATTTTGTAAAACAAATCACAAAGTAAATAATAAGTTTTTATACTGGTAGCGCTATCTAACGGTAAAATTATAGCACCTCCGAAACCCATATCGAATTTATTTTCATCAATTATCGATCTCACAAGTAATCTAACTCAAAATAGACTAGTGCCTGCACATCTACACTATAGCAGAAAGCTTTTAGTGAAAATTTGAATTCTCTAGCTATTGTAGTTGTGGAGAACTCACGCGGACAGCCGGCCTGCCAGCAATAACGAATATAATAGCGTATTTTTTTCAAAAATGCGCTAAAAATGCGCTATTGTGGCCACTTTGTCCGTCCGTCCGTCCTCTCGTTTTGCGACGCTACTAGTTCTTTATCTTAAGAGCTATTGTTCTACTTTTTTCGCTATTTGGTTCGTTATGGTGTCGAGTCTTGCACTAAGGAAGGAATTTTTTCTGTACCGCTTACAAAAAAAGTTATTGTAAAAAAACAAAAAACCGTTTTTTACATGTTCCATAATTTTACACTTTTGCCGTTTATTAACGATCCTAGATCTTTTATAATTTTGTATTGCTGTCTGTCGTCTGTCTGTTGGTCTGTCCGTCTATTCCTTTGTCTGTCTGTCCCTGTATCTGTCCGTGTGAACGATAACTTTGTTTAGAAATGTCCGATCGCTTTTACACCTCCGTTAGTTATTAACTGAATTGCATGAAATTCAATATGGGCATAGCTTTAGCCATATAATACGCAACGCCAAAAGTTGAGTCGAATCGATTCAAAATTCAGTGCCCTTTTCGCATCTTGACCATTTATAAACAGAATTGCAAACTTTTTTAATTATAAAAGTATTTAAATGAAATTTGATACATAGGCACATGGAATAAAGGAAAATCAAACGCCAGTGTCAAAATTTTGTTTTGCACATGCGCAGTGCCAACTTTTTTTATTTATGGAAGAATTTAAGCGAAATTTGATACATAGGCACATGGAATAAAGGAAAATCAAACGCCAATTTCAACATTTGGTTTTACGCATGCGCAGTGCCAACTTTTTTTTATCTATGGAAGCATTTAAGTGAAATTTGATATTTAGGCGCTTGGAACAAAGGAAAATCTAACATTAGTTTCAAAATTTAGGTTTGCGCAGGCGCAGCTCCAACTTTCTTATTTAGTTTTGCATTGAAATGAAATTCTTCTCATAAACTGAACTTGAAGAAGCACGGCAAAAATGGATTGCCCATGTGCAACGCTATCTTTCATATTTGTGGCCGTATTTTTACGATTTTAACAGAAGTTGCATCTTACAAATGGGAAATGAATGCAAGTGGAAATGCGCTTTATGTAAATCGTTTACGATTACTTTTTAACTTGTTGTTATTTGCGACATTTTCACCGGAGTTTTCAATTAACTACATGCGAAATTAGATGACTTACTAGTAGGCCCGCGGCACTTTCTAACCCGAAGGATCAATCTTCAAATGAGTATAACTTCAAAACTAAATTGTACCGGAAAAAGTTTAGCTGAAATAATAAATATTACTTAATACTTAAATAATAAAACTTAACTTGATTACATAAAGGCCGAGAAAGGCAATTCCCGAGGCAATTATTTTGCACATGAATGTAATATACTGGGTGTCCATTTTTCGCACCTCTCCATGGAAATATCGATTATATTAAGAGTTAAAGCTATAATCTTAAAGGTTTTTAGTTTTCATAAAAATTGCATAACTCAATGTTGCATTTTTTTAAATTGTACAGGAACAGTAGTAAAAATGGACGATTTAATTAAGGAAGTTTCCGATTCGACGACACAGTAGCATACAATTTATAGATTTCTTATTTCGGAAGTATTTTTGGAATGTATAATGGTTTGGAGATGAATATTATGGAAATGTTATAGTCCCGTTTATAGTGTATTATAGTGATTAAGTAAAACCTCGTATAAAACATACAAATTCTCACAAAAATTATAAAATCCCATAGCGAACACTTCGAAATATTCATTTTTATATTAGAAATATTTTATAGAATACTACAACTAATAGAATTTTACTTATGTAGAGCCGTTAAAAATATAAATATATATACTTAACGATTCACGTAAGGCGGTTATTCCAAGAATAGGGTACAAAACTCCAATCTGTAAACAAATGAAAAAAAATGTTAAAAATGATAATTATTCACACGTGCTTATTTTTAGACTTAATAATTCATGATATCAAGTACTAAAGGGCGGAAGACAATTTTTTATTGTGGCATCTCAAGTTCCTACCTACTAGCGCAAAAGGGTATTTTTCGTTGGCATCCAAAAAGTGAATTTCGAGGTGAATTTACTACGTTGGTCATTTTCTGAAAAACCTGCAAAGCGACAGATTGTAGAAATTGGCTCAATAGCATCTATAGTCTTGGAGCAACTTCAATATGACCAACGAGCCTTAAACCCAGAGCAAATACTTGTATCTTTTAATTTATGTCATACTAATATTAGGGCACAGTATTTGTTAAAAATGCGTGTGAATTATTATCACTACTAACGCCATTTGTTTACAGAGGAATACATCTATAGATAACTAGCGTAAACTGCGCGATCGGATATGACCAGTAAGTAGCCAGGGAAACTGAAGTGAAAACGAGCATCTCAATGGTGTGGGTACATCTTCGGTATACTTTCCTAACTACATAACGTAACATAAGACATTTTTAGTTAAATATCACAGTTACATTATTTCGCGAGAATTATTTGCTACGAAAATATGGAGGAAAATATAAGTTACTTAACCGGCTCCAGCAAACTTTACGTCAAAAAAACAAATTTGAGCTTAAAATCCCAGTATACAGGATAAGGCAGGGTACGCCTGGGAGTAAGCCAAAGCGACAAAAGATTTATGTACCAGAAACCTTCGATCTTTTCGGGAATGGTGTCCACAATTGGTCACTTTTAGGGGGATTAGCGAGGGGATTAGGATACTTTCGGGCGAACTCCAATTTGCGATGCTCAATACAATACCTATAAGTAGGTACTATTAAGAGAAATTAAATTATGAAAACCGCATCTTGATCTGTCGAGCATTTTTCAAGCTAAGAAGGGTTTTGAAAAGTCTACCTTTTGGAAGGGGGTCAACTCATTGAAAATGTTGAAAGAGAAGATTTTTGTAGCTTTTTAAGGAATTTTTATGCTGTCGACATAATTTTTATTTTACATACATATTTAGTTTTTAGCGCATTTTTCGGTGACATCTAGGCGCTATCCTCGAGCGTGGGTTTATTAACGTGGTGATTTTTCAGTTTTTTTCCGAGGTTTTTTCCTATCTTCTTCAACAGTTTTGGTTCGATTGTTTTCAAATTGATGTTGTCGGAAAGATCGGAATTTTGTTTTGTCTCTCTTTCAGACAAGATCTTACTGATGGTGGAGTCAAAACTGACAAAACACATGTAATAACATTTTATTTATTTATTCGGTCATAAATATTTTCAACGAGATTTTCAAATGATGTTCACACTTTATATGTTTAGATGCGAGTTTAGATGCTAAACGAGATGCTAAACTTTTTTTTCATTTTTATATAATATGACATGATTACCATGATTTTGTTTTATACAGAATGAGCGGATAAGTCCCGGAACGATCGGTGCACTGACTTCAAATGGAGTATAACTCATTGACAATAGTAACAGTTTTTTTTTAAATTGAACACCCTATATATTTTTTCATTTATAAACACAAAAAAATAACTCTTAAAAAGTACTAGAAACAATGTCTTTATCTTTAATAGAAAACACAACATAATTTTTTTTTTTTTTTGTAGGTGGGGAAATGCTCCTTATGCACATTCTGGAAGGAAGTTCCAGAGTAGTGTGAGGCTCTCCCTTAGAGTATACTCACTAAAACCCCACCTAAGGCTTCGGCTACTAAGGCCATTAGCCTATCACCCTTTTCATTGTGATCGCAGGTCCTTCCACTTCAACAATCAAAGTTGGTTGAAGATTCCAGCGACTCGCATAAAAGTTAACACAACTCTTGCAGTGATCATGTCTACTAAAATTGTTTTCCCATATTTCATCAACTTTCAATGCATCACGCAGGTTTGTGTATTTTACAAAAACCCAAAGTATGTGTTCCGGTGTCAATTCGACACCACATCTATCACATGACGGTTGTTCTCCACCTGCCAACAAAAAACCATGCGTGATAGCGGTGTGTCCCAACCGAAGCCGATACAGCTTTGTCAAATCAACTTTACTCAAGTTGGGTAAAAATAGTGCTCCTAGATTTGGTTTTACTCTTTTTAATGAGGTATCGGTCTCCGTCCACATCTCCTGCCAGCGCTCAAAAACACAGATCTTTACAGCTACCTTCGTGATATCTAATATATCATCATTTTGTAACTGCATCTCCTCTATGCACTGTCTTGCTCTTTCGCCTAGCGATCTATATAACCGTGTAGGTCTGGTTCTACCAGTAAATAAATTATAATTGGGGTGTTCATCATTCAGACATACTTTCCGGTAATAGTTTATTATCAATTGCTTTCGACGAAGAGCAAGCGGTAGAATGTTTGCTTCCACGTTGAGAGCGCTGATGGGACTAGTTGGAAATGTCCCGAGGGAGTATCTAATTGCTAGATTTTGAATTTTATCTAACTTACTCAGCAACGTGAAACTGCCTGTAGAATAGCTATAGCACCCATAGTCAATGCGTGACAGGATCAATGCCTTATAGATGGCAAGAAGCGATTTAGGATGAGCCCCCCATTTGAGATGTGCAAGGACCCTTAGCACATTTAGTGATTTCCTGCTTGCTGTTAAAAGATTCTCCAAATGCTTAGTCCATCTTAACTCCCTGTCAAAAGTAAGCCCCAAAAATTTAATGTCATTGGGTACACTAATAATATGATCTTTCAAAAACAGAACAGGGTCATAATGGGGTTTACGGAGCCTACAAAAATGCATCGCTTTAGTTTTCTCCTCGGAAAGGACATAACCCACTGCGTCTGCATTTGTTGCAATTTGATTGATAGAATCTTGCAATTTTCGCACAACAGTGCCAACAGTTTTTCCGGCAAGGCAAATCATGAGGTCGTCGACGTACAAACATTTGTCAACTTCCTCCGCAACTCTTAAGGCTATTTGATTTATTGCAATTGCAAAGAGAGAGCAGCTCAGAGTAGACCCCTGTGGCACTCCATTCTCTAAGATGTATTCCTGTGAGTATGTGTTTTCGACTCTGACGACAAATCGCCTATCTTGCAAAAAGGAACGGACAAATTTAGGTAAGTTACCCCGTAGATTATACTTTGACATGTTTTTTAGGATTCCATACCTCCATGTCATGTCATACGCCCCTTTGATGTCGAAGAAGACCGCCACAAGGTGTTCTCTATTGTCAAATGCCCTTAAGATGTTGTCGCTCAATTTAACCAAATGATCTATTGTTGATCTGCCTTGTCGAAAACCCGTTTGGTATGATACCAATGTATCGTTGGATTCCAAAAATGACTGCAGTCGCCGGTTCACCAGTTTCTCTAATAGTTTACCTATTGTTTCACGAAATTAACATCACATTACCACTGAAACACATGAATTTAGCTCGGAATTTAGCATTTCTGTTACATTTGAGTAAAATATTAAATTATTTACTTATCATTTTATTCCACTTAAATTTCAGTAACATATATTTTTGTGCTTTCCATTAAAAATAAAGTTATTGTTGCTACTATTTCGTATTTTGGGACGTGGTTATTTATTGTATTCAAAAATTACAAATATACAGGGTCCAATTCTCGGCCTGTTCCTGTTGACGAAAAACAATTAAAATGTTATACTCCGAAATTTCTCCTACTTAATTGTGTCATAAAATTTAAAATTTACGAATTTGTGCTAATTTTCTCAATTTCTTTTATAATGGAGTTACATGTATCTTAAATTTTTATAACCTTGAAGTTGAAACTTTGACATATGCCTGGCGTCGCCGCCTTTCCCAGGATTTAGTCAACTGTCGTGGGGTTGTGTTCCTGGTAGGCACTATCAGGGGCGTTTCACCCTCGGTTTCACCACTACTTTTGTTATGTATTTTAAATTTTTATATCCTTTTAATCCAAATTGTTGAATTTTCAGAATTTTTTGACAATATGTCTTCTATAATTTTTAAAATTGTGTTTTCCTCCTTTTAAATAGCTGCACTAATTTGTCAATTTTTTTATTTTTTAGTTTTACTATTATTCAACTCTAATTTTTTGAATTCATCGCATTTTTAAATTTTCTCATTTTTTAACAGTTTTTTTTAATTCGCAGGTACAATCACAATACGTTTTAGTCTAAGAACCCAAAGTATGAATAAGATATGAAATTTTATTCTTTAATTTTTGAGTAGGTAACCTACATACTTAAATGTTGTGTATCTAATCTAATGTTATGGTTCCTAAAAATTCTTCGCAATTGAGCCATAAATTGCTGCATTTCTCGTGTAATTTTCCGAATTATAGTTTGAAATTTTAAGAAACATTTTTCAATTTGCTTTCTATAAACTTTAAAAATGTTTTTTCGGTTTTTTTGAATCTTTAAATATCTGCGCTATTTTTAGATATATAATTTTTTAAGTGCAAACAAATCGTAGGTACAGTAATATTTTAGTTTAGGAGCTCAAAATGTTTGGGGTATGAATAAGATATTCTTTTTTCTTTAATTTTACTGAAATCGTCTCTTCTGTTTTATTATAATCAACAGAACTGACAAGCGCTAAGGAGATAATATGAGGGCGACTTCCGTCCGTATTTCCCTTTGTATGTACTCATAAATCCCATAAATCCGTTACATGACACTTCGGGAAGTACGAGGGGAAGTAGCTCGGGAGGTATGTACTGATCAATTCATGGAAAATGCGTTAAGGTGAAAACGTTTCTTCACTTTTTACTCGTTTTACATACACACTTTAAACGTCGGGTATTATCGACTAGGACACTCCCTTCAATCTCTATTCCTAAGAACCTACCATGGGGTCTTAATGATTCCGCTATTAACGAGGTTATTAAGTGACAATTTAATTGTTATTTTTTTTATTCAATTATTATTTATTTCCATATATTTCAAGTTTATAACACATTTTAATTTTAGTTCAGTTTTCGTTTTAAGCTACTACGGTAATTCCTGTCCAACTTCCATCATTCCACCTTGGATTTTAGCTCGGATTTTAGCCTTACATATGATAAACCGAAAGGCCCCATACGCACCACATTCTAACCCAGTGTTTCTCAAACTGGGGCGCGCGAGATATTTACCTTTAAAATATTATTATATTAGGTATTTTTATGTACAATTGTATTGTAAATACGCCTTTTTATTTATTTATTTATTTATTGTTCCTCTTGTTCTAGGCCCCCAACAGGCTTACGCCCAATTACAGAGTGACCCGCATATTGCTTTTTAGAGGTACCCCTGCAGAAAGTCTTAAGTTGTTCTATACTACTCCGGTATTTACCTTACGAAAACTGCAGGAAAACCTAGTTCGGAGTAGCCGGCAGAATGCTCGAAACTGATCTAGGGATATTCCCATCTCTGCCACAGATGAAAAATTCACCTCAACTCCGGTTTTGTAGCCCAACGCTCTACCACTGAGCTACAAAGCCGGTGCTGATGAAAGCATTGATGTTGCGCAATGTTGCCAGTGTGCGATATATGATGTTCCTAATGTGCTATAAAAGAAGAGATCTTGAATGAATTAAAAACGACCTCAAAAGCCGTTGATGTTATGGATGCAATATCCGACTTGATTGAAAAACATAATATTTTACGGGCCATAACTTTTTAGCACCGTCAGAAAGTTGAGAAAAATTATTTGTTGATATCTTTGAAAAATAAATGGACGCCAACGTATTCTCGAAAATGACATTTTTCCTCACCCTGTAATTTTTTAATAATTACGTTTGTAGTAACAGCACTTTTTATTTTTTAATCGGGATGAGGGGGCAGGGGGGCCGGGGGCGTGAGTAATTTCAGTTTTATGAAAGGAGATAAGTTTGAGAACCTCTGCTGTAACCTAGAAGTGCATCCTTTCTAAGCGTCGAAACTAGACAAGCAAGGGCGGTGGCGGCCTTTCTTAATTCTTTGAGGACGAGCTTGAGGACGATTGCTCTTAAAATTACGGCGCTCTCAGGAGCTGTCAGGAGAACACCAAACATCAATATGTTATATGAAAAAAACAAAGTGGTGGTACTGGGAAAAATTGCTCACCAACCGAGAGGGGGCAACGCACATCGACAGTATCATTGGTACCTACCTCCTTCCATAAGCGGTCACCGGTCACCAAAAATGAATATTGTTACCTCGACAGGACTATTTCGAAGTCTCATTTACCGGTCTTAAATGTCGGCATTGTCGGCTGCTGCAGATATTATACCTACTTACAATCTGAATAACTAATTTCGTTGAAACGACGTTGGGACAAAATCGCAAAATATACTTGCGGTTAAAATCATCTTACTGGCTCGCCTACTGGTCAAGATGTTACACATTTTCTTGTGGAAAATTATCACAAACATTGCCGCATTGTCGGTACAATGTTCTTCCGAACGAATTTCATATGCTCTTTGACGTACAACTACTTACTAATTGCACTCCATTCGTTAGCGGAATTAATCATGAACCGGGAGAAAAAGTTCACCGTCTGTGTGTGAGCATAGTAGAAGGGGCGAGTTCAAATATCACCACCTTGACGCCTCTAACGGACAACCAAATAAGAAATAAAATTAGGCAACAAATATGAGTATTGATTACTATGATGGTACAATACCCATAAAAATAGTATAAAATAGACGGCCGATACAATGCGCTTGTTTTGTTTTGTTTTTGTTGGCTTCGCGTTTTCAAAAGGTGTATGGCGCGTGTGACTTTTTTTGTCTATTTTAATCGATTAATAAGGACAAAATTACGTTGATAAAGGTAAATGTCCATGACAAAGTATGGTATTACGTAAATGTCAACACACTATGCGTGTGTCATCACTTGTTGCATAGTAAAAATTAAGTAATAAGAAGGCGGTGATATAAATAAATGCGTACATTAAGTAAATAAAAACTGCTTATTACCTTATGCTGAGATCGACAACCGCATCGTCAACTTCCATCTTTTCCATCTGCCTGCTACGTTGAGGAAGCTTTCCAGTTAAAGTTATCAATCACTCGTTTTAACATTTAACAAAAAGTAATTAAGAGCACTGCAATTGCTATCGGTAAACCCTTAGAAAAGCGTGGGCGCCCGTCTTTGTCGTTGTTGAGCAACGCACTATGAAAAACGTTAAAAATTCGAGAAAGTAGTAATGGGAACAATAGAAATTAATAAGCGCGTTTGTACGGCAGTCGACCGGTAATAATTATCAAAACTCACTAATCTAGCTAGGGCACACGTCGTCCACTACCGCGTGTAACTAAACTACACGGAGACGTGAGTCTTCCCTTAACCAACCTCCCGACAAAAACGAGTGAACGGCCTGGATGGAATACTCTCAATTAATTTTTCTAACCTGTAGTAATCGTGCCGCCAAAAACGTGCAAAAATATTAACGTGAACGTAATCGAGAACGTTACACGCTTAAAATGATACTAAAAACGCTATTATAATGACGTTGCCGAGAACTCCTACCTTAGGTCAATTAGTGCACCGAAAATTGTAATCTAAACCTCGAGTTGACAAATCGATTATCTTCCTGTATGTACACATACTTTTCTCACTTAAAATTTCACATATTTAACCCGGCATACACAAAACACCCGACACAATGTCTCTACTCGCCACCATCCGCAGTTTCGTCAACACGTTCCCCTAATAATTTCTATAATTTAAAGGTAAAACGCCGAAAACCATCGAGGGGGACACCACTTCACTCCAGGCCAAAATTAACAGACGACTGATTCGACTGATTCAATTCAATATGGCGTGGCCTTGTGTTATGTCTGTGTACATGCTCTTAAAACAGATAAATACACAATATACTATCTCTTATTAGCTTCAACAAAACTCGGATTACATCCTTCTGATACAAAGTCGTACTCACTTTATTCATACGTCGTACGCCGTCATCACCGACACGCTCCCACGTTCCCTTTCATTTCCTAACCCGTATTTCAAATCTTTGGGAATTTGTAACATGCGTTTTTACCTCACTTCGTGCAAATCACGTCGTTGATCTGAACTTATCATACTAAACAAAACAATGCGGAAAATCCTCATCTCTCTCTAACCCGTAACGGAACAATTACGCTACTTGTATACGTAAGAGATTTAGTTTAATCTCTACGTTTTATAATAAAAAAAATTTGTTTAAAAATCTTGTTGAAAATTGATGACGTTTCTAGTATTGGAGTTGTTAAGCGATAAGATTATTTCGACGGTCGACGTATACAATTTTTAATTAACGCTCATTAAACTTCTCGATAAAATACTATAATTTCGTGTAAAAAGTCTAAAGGTCAATTTTCTCTTTAGCGTTTTTCCAATGCGAATGCGATAATTGCATTTTGATTATTTGCGACAGTATAGGTAGTTTCCATTTTTGTAAATTGCGACATGCCACCTACTCGCTTCTCTACAGGTGATCTGTTTCTCTCTTAAATAGTATCTAGATAGCGAATTAAAATCAATATCTACTTCCGTCTTCCTGGCAATATTTTGTCATTACCGTTGAGTGAAGCTATGGGCACAGATAAAATACCCAATTTATCTGTGCTATGGTTAAGCCCTTAACCGGGTAAAGGGAAATAGCAGGTCCGGAGCCAGGGGTGGCCAGGCGGAGTTCAGCCCCACCTACAACATGGTCTTGCCCCTTCTGAAAACTATTAGTTAATTGTTAAATGCTTCCTTTACATTAGTACCTACTATGCGATCAAAAATGAGTTGCTGTCGAGTCGCCTTTGAAATTTTTGTTTACATGGAAAATCGTATTTAACTTGAACTTCCAAAGGCGACTCGACAGCAACTCATTTTTGATCGCCCGTTACAAGTCAGCAAAGGCACTATTACTCTTGAGCTCTAGATTCGAACACCCACCTAGAGCGAGAGAGTACAAACCGCGGCTGCTCAAGAGTGCTAAACAGAATCTTTTCCACAATCATATTCATTATTTAAGTAATAGTTATTTACCCAATATCGTCCTGAAACCCTCATTTTCATGCCTACTTTCTGTCAGGAAATTTGAGTTTCCATGACAGAGGCAGAGCAGACTACGCACCTGCCGGTTGTCACTTTACTGGCCGCACCTGTCACTTTAGCGGCCGCATTTGTGACATTTCTAATGTCTATAATGACTCCTGTCATCAGACAGATTGACATTAATCAAAAGTTTTATATACTAATTAAAATGTTATATTAAAATACGATTTCGGGTAAAATTTAATACAAAACTCGTCAATAAAATGACATTACATGACTCGGAAATCAAAGTACTCGTACTTCAATAATTCCTCGCCGGTAATGTGTCATTTTCAATCCTGCGAGGAATTATTGAAGTACGAGTACTTTAATTTCCGAGTCATGTACCTAATGTCATTTTACTGACAAGTTTTGTATCAAATTTTCTCCGAAATCGTATCTATTAAGATATTTTATACTCGTATTAACGAGTATAAAATATTCAATTTTTATGTAAGTTCTTTTGATTAATGTTAAACTGCGCGCAGTGATGACAGGAGTCATTATAGACATAGTAATTGACAGGTGCGGCCGGAAAAATGACAAGTGCGGCCGGTAAAGTGTCAGATGCACCCGATAAAGTGACAGGCGGCAGAAAAAGTCGTCTGGTCTGCCTGCCTCTGTCATGGAAAATAACATTTCCTGACAGAAAGTAGGCATGGAAATGAAGGTTTCAGGATGATTTTGGGTAAAATAAATTTGACGTTTGCGAAACGTCTAATACCTACTATGATTATCTTACATTCATTTTCATAGCAACCGCAGACACAGTAACCAATAAACAAACTTTGCAGGCTTTGCTCACTAATGATTAAACGCCCGTCTTGCTCACGATAAATAGAGAGCTGCAGTTTGACATCTATCTCATCTCTGCAGCAGTCCAAGAACGTGCCTTTACAATAAAACACTGATGAAAGGACCGACAGAACGCGGCCAATTGCAAAATTTGATCGAAATACGCTAAAAACCCGAAGTTTATACATTCACCCTTTTTTACACTCCTCGCGGGCTTTCTGTGGACGTATTTTCAACTACTACTACCTACTAAACTGCACTCGCGGAAAACTGGAACAGTTTAAAGTAGGTTGAGGTGCTTGTTGCTTCCGTTGGTTCATTGGTAATATCTTTATTTATTTAAATGACAATTCAACTCATGTATAAAAAATCGCATAAGCCGCAGTGCAATTGTCACTTTGACAGCGGCAAAAGTTACCTGCAACTTTTCCAGCGACAAATGCACTAGTGGTTTTTTCACTTATTCATTTTCGAACCAATAATCGCATTATCCTTTCCCATATGACTAGTTTGACGTCTGTCAATAATTGATTAGTTTGGTGAATTTCTTGTTCGTTAAATTGTCCTGCCGAATTACACTCGAGGTTTGCATTTAAACCGAGTAAATTTGGGTTGCTGCAATTCAAATCTGTTTCCTTTTAGCAATTGAACTCGAAAAACTGTCAACCTAAAAATGCTCCACCTTCGGTGTCGCATTTTTATTAGTTGACAGTTTTTCTCGTCTAATTGCTAGGCAACAAATTTTCATTACCTTAACAACCCAAATTTACTCGGTAAAATACAAACCTCTTGTGCAATTATAAGTGAATAAACAATGGTAATATAGTTTATTCTTTTGTTTGAAATTGTTATTTTGCTTTTTTTTCTTGTTCTGATGCAGCCCCTTGCCTCCTGAAATCTTGTGAACAAGCATGCTCCTTGCTCAAAGGTCTTCATAAGAAACCCTAACATATATGGTGGAGCACAGTGCACGATACGCAATGATAATAACCTTGCACCCCACATAGCACACAGGTGTACTATGTACGTACATAACACGTAATTATTAGACGTAACAAATGTACACTGTACATGGACACACGTACAATGTACTGTACATGGACGTACATTTAAAGTCCATTTGTCACAACATTGTACCTATAGTGTACGTACACTATTTACGTCCATCGTACGTACCTATTGCATGTACATTGTAGATATTATTATATACACTGTACGTACATAAGAAGTACACAATAGTGAAAACATAACGTACAATGTACATATTTTGCATCTACTATAAATACTGCATACGTGCGATTTTGATGCATATTCAAAAACACAAATAAACTTTACTGAAACAGAACGTGTTTGGGCAGCATTGCTGTTAAACACGTTCTGAATATTAAAGTTTGCTTATAGTTTTTGGCGTTACTATTCAGTTCGTTTTACTCCAACTACCCGACACGTTCCTATACTTCCAGGTGATATATGTAGGAAATTTTTTTTAATTAAAATTGTTTACTAAAAAACCCAAAAGCTTCTCGCTAGGTTGCCTGATGGAGGTACTGATGATATCTAAAACCAAGTAAAATTTTAAAGCAATAAATTTATTCAGAAATTTACAGCGCTACATAAGTATATGAAACTAAAAGGTATTTATTTCTTGGATCTTTCCAAGCACCGTCTTAACCATTTCGTAATACTGCCTTCTACATCCTTCAATGTTGCAGAAGGGAACAAGTGCATTGATGATTCTTTAAAAGAAAACAATAAACTATGGCTTCACACATAGAAATACTTACTTATTAGAAGTTCATTCAATTTGAGTTTAGTAAAAGGTTCCTTTTTGCGCCTTCCCAAAAAGCTAAATGTACTACCACAGAAATTGTTTGTAATGAGTTTCTGTGTTGCACGAAAAACGAAATCATACGTGTCCTTCCCACCAATATGAGACACTTCTTTAACCTAGCCAAAACAAAGAAAAAGAAATATTAATTATTATGACAGTATATGATTCAACATTTTAATGTAAATATGCATGATATAGTACCAGATATGAAATACAAACTTTTTGGAAAATGACAAACCAAATATTCCACTTACGGCGCTCTCCATATGTTCTGGTGTACTTAAGTACATTTCCAAATCATTTAAGTGCTCCTGCGAATCTATTGGTAGATTTGTCATAATAACAAAAAAGGATTCTGCATTATCATCAACGTTCTCTTGAGTTTGGGTACTATTCTGTGATTCCAAATTTGTTATTCTATTACTAATATCCATAAGGATGGATTGCAATATATTTTGTTTTTTAATGATTTGCTGGAGATATTCTTGAAAGTGAAACAATATAATACATTTATAATTTTACTGTAACCTTACTAATTGTTTGAGTTCCATCCTGACCATGGCCGTCACCTTTCCTTGATATTGCTTTAATACTTTGACCTCTCGTTTGACCTTGCATTGTAGTTTCTACCATTGTATCATCTCTTGTCTGAGAGTTTTCTGTAAAAACATGAGTTAAAAAGGCATGTCATCTGCAGACAGGAAAGTAGATAGTTATGAGAAGACATATACAATGCAATTTAATGCTCACCTTTTCTTTTGTTCGCTGTATGTAATTCAGGTAAAATTAGTTCCTCACACTCCACATCTATTGATGCCGCACTGCAACTACTGTGTTGAGGTTCATCTGCGCGTCTTTCAAACGTTTCTACAAACAAAAGTGGAATAACAACATTGAAAGCAAAAAATGTAATTTTTTCCATACCTCTTATTGTCAGTTTTGGTGGTTCCGGTAATACTGACTCTTCATTTTCCTCGTCAATAGACGAAAAACTAAAGGTTTTTCTGAATATCTTCCGTTTTCGCGATGAAACAGTGGTAGCACCAGCTTCAGCACTTGACTCTAAATCTGAAGTTGTCATAGCAATCTGTGACTTTCGATTTGCTTCTTTGAATGTATCTACGTAAACAAAGGTTTAGAAATACTTGAAAAATTTTATGCAATACAATACCATATGTGGCATTCCTAAAAGGTTCACACGGAAACTCGAGCCATGTTTGGGCGTTAAATGATTCATGCTTTTCAATTGCAGTCCTGGTCAACTTATCGTTATAAGGGGGCCAATAACATTTGTCCTTATGTATCCACGATGTAGGTACAACGCACACCGAATTTTCTTTAGGGAATTTGACCACCGACCAAGTTGAGTTTAATGAATCCATATCCATAATAAACAGACAAAACTGGTGATTAATTAGCGACATTAAAGTTGAAACCCATTATTATCCAATGTTAATCAGAATAATTACACAAATCCTCCTTTGTTAATTACTGATAATAAATTGCGCAAAAGTAGGAGGTGTAGATGGAATATTTTATTTTCCTTTTACTTCAAATAAAGTACTTCATCAAATTTGATATCTTCTGATAAAGAATGGACGAATTAAGCAACACTCGTCATTAATTCTTAGAAAATTTATATTCAGTTCTCAAATTCTGAATTAAAATAAGTATTTTTATGACAAATTTTGTATACAGTGTTGGACTCATATGGGAAACTGTTATTATTGGATTTAGGAAAAAGTTATTCTTCATAAAAAGTTCTGCATTATCTAAAACCTAAAATGCAATCATTAGATATATTAACTCGGATATTAATTTTTTTAAGCCGTATACGAGGTTTGTCAAAAAATATTAAAAGTACAATACAGAAAAATGTTGTAGTTATTTAAAATTGAAAGTTATATTCAAACATGCAATTACAGCTATTTAGCATGAAAATTTATAACTACAAATAATTTAATAATGTAAAACGTAAATAATCACCAAATCTTAATTTTTATGCTAAATAGCTGTAATTGCATATTTGAATAACTTTACAACATTTTTCTGTATTGTAAAAAATAAAGGTACTTTACTCTTGAGTAAGATTAATATTTTTTTACAAACCTCGTATACGGTTTAAAAAAATTAATATCTAATGATTGCATTTTAGGTTTTAGATAATGCAGAACTTTTTATGAAGAATAACTTTTTTTCCTGAAACCAATAATAACAAAGTTTCCCATATGAGTCCAACTTAAGTGGGCACACTGTATAAAACAAAAATTAAATGCTTCTACGCCTTCGTACCTGGGCCTTACTACATATCTATTTTTTTAAGCACAATGAATTTCTAAATAAAATTTTAATAATTTTTAAGATTACTTTCTTAAAGACTAAATATTCATTATTACACTATTCCTTTGAATGTAATAATGGTATTACCACAAACCCTTCATTATAAGGCATTTTAAAAAATTTACAGCAAATTAAATTTACATTCCACATTTCCAATGGGCCCATACCTGATATAATATAAATGTCAAAAGTGGAAGAAGGACAAGGATCCAAATATAAATCCTTGCAAGAATTAAATTTGCGGCCAATTATAGATAAATCATTATTAGCATCGCATACAATATTTTCAATGCAAACAACAGATTTATCTTTTAATCCACAGCAGCAATCAGCTTCGGTTAGTTTCAATGCAAAATTTGGAAATTGAATACATCTATATTGGGTCATAAGATGATTGCCCAACACAGGACCATTACTATGTTTCATAAGTGGCCTTACTTTATCAACAATATTTCCACTTTCAGGTGTATTTGGGAAGCTGTTTTGTTCTAAAGTACGCTTAACAATTTGTGCTAGAGGATTTGTGCCTTTCCGAACCAATGATTTCAATTTTTGTAAATGATTCTCAAATGGAAAGGCCGAAAAGTTTTGCAAAATTCCAAATCTTTTGCAGTCTTCATAAATATGTAACAAATTATGTATATTATGGGAAGCATGTTCCTTTCCATATAAAACTACAAAAGTCTTTACAAAATACGATAGTAACGATTCTGCATACGCTCCAAAATGTTTCAAAAAAAAGTCATTGGACAAAATAGTTGCACTAACATGTAGACATAGAAAATTGGTATAACGATCAATAGACAAAATAGATTTCAAAATTAATGGACCAGTATAATATAGTAATTGTCTAAATTCAGTAGCTTTAAAGCGTTTTAGATCTTGCAATGATCTCGGTTTTCTGACAAATTCACATGGTACATTATTACGGAGACTAATGAGAAATTTAGAAATACGGGAAATGTCATTAAATGCTAATTTTGTTTTTGGTTTACCATTTACCCATAACATAAGCAACTTTCTAACTACACCTAAACAAATCAAGTGCATGTAATCTAGAGGAATATCGTATACCATGTCAAAATGTGATAGGGTTTCAATTATAGAAGATCCAACATGATGATCTTCATCAAATCTGTTTCGAAATTCCACATCAGATCGTTTCCTCAGATTACTTGTTTCAGAAAAATAGACACGATTGTCAGAAAAGGCTCCTTCAATGTAGCACTTGGAGCATGAACTGTAACCTGTATGACCTTTAGTAAACGTAATAAAAGATTTAGCAGGCGCATCACATATAAATGAATTGACTCGAAATGGGTACGTGATGTTCTTATACTTAAATCCAGTACTTATAAGGGAATTTGATTCTGTTACAAAATCATGTAAAAGCATATTTGCATCTGTTGGTTTCTCAAATCCATGATAGATTCCAATCATTTCCACTGCTTGTGGATTACCTTCCAAATTACACAAAATCGGATAAACCTGACTGCCTGAACTCTTGGAAATTGGTAGCCCATCAACATTGACATTTATTTTAACACTACTTAATGTATCAAAAAATTTATCAATCAACTTAGTAACTGCATTAAAAACCCCAAAATGATAATATTTCCCTGGTTCGACAACTTTTAGTTCACATTTTCTGGGTGTTTTTAATAATGTTCTTGCATCATGTGGTAAAGTTGGATCCAATATATGTAATAATTGCAGTAAAGCGTTCAATGCTATAAGTGGAATTTGAAAATTAATAGCCCATTGAGCTAATAAAACTTGAAAGCATTGTTTCAATGGTTCATTGGACTCTAACGCATCATGTTTAGCAGGAATTACGTCACTTGCAATATCTGCTGTATCGTCGCTTAAATCCGACGTGGAAGTATTACTATCCCTGACGTAGCTACAATCGCTGTCATAGCCATTAGAATCTAAATCAGCTGGTTCGTAATGGTTAGCATCTACCTCGGCATCTACGTTACTTAATTCAACAAGTGAATCGCACAAAGGGTTATCTTCACTTTCGTCTTCGGAAGGTACATTCACACAGTTGTTTATAGAATTAATAGTTAGTTTTGTCCTTTTTAAAGCATCACGGTAGAGCTTTCTCCTTACTTTATATTTATTCATTTTTTCTAAAAATACTTTTACAAACTACCTACGTATGTACTTACACAATTCGGACCCAATGAGGGATGCCAAGGCCAAGGAAGGCAGGTAAAACGTAAACGTAAAGTGTTCTAAAAAAAAGTAGTTACAACAATTAATTACCTATTGATAATTGTCTAGGTCAATACTTACGATTAAAATGGTGTGAATTTCGGTGAAAAGAGATAATCTCGTCGCTGAGCTGAGTGCTGGTAGCGCGGTGCGGTTATTCACCTTCACCTTCACAAAATCCATAAATTTTATCGTACCGAATCGCGTGTTGTCGGTGCATTCGTTAAAATGGTAAAACGCGATTGGTAGCGAGGTTCGGCAGACGTTGTAAGAATTGAAGTGCGTATTGCTTTTCCTATGACGACATGTTTTAGTATTAAGAATACAATATAAATTAACAGCATTCTATTTATTGTAGTGATATCCCAATGCTTATGTTAGCGCATTTTATCTACGGTCTGAACACAAATAATTAAAATTAAAAAGTTACAATGCTTTCATGAAAAATGTACGTACAGTGGATATAAGTATTTAACATACATAGTACGTACTGAGATGTACGTCAAATGTACGTCCATTTTTAGTACATGGACGAACTTACCTAAAATGGACAAAAAATGTACGTCCAATGGACGAAGCGTGCTATATGG